ATCCATTTTCGAGTTAACCAATTGTGAGCTGCAACATCGGGTTGTGAGAGAAACTTTGTAAGATCGAGTTGTAAGTGTAGTATTACCCTATAAGTTATAGGTTCGCAGACTTAACGTGGTGATTTTACAAGTTTATGTTTATTTATTATACCTCATTAATGTAAATTTGTTTTCAGGTTTTACGCCATTGTATGTCATTCACTTTAATTGTGTTTACTTTATGGAGAAGACTAGAATTACATCTAACCGGGGTGTAGTTAGGATTTCAAGTTAGTGGGGTCAAAATATATAAATTGATACATTTACAATAAAATATATGTTGAAGTAATAATCATAAAAAAAAAAAAAAATGTAATCTAAAAAAATAATTACTATAAAATATAAAATATCTTAGTGGAGTCAATAAAACATAGAAATATCTTAGTGGGTCAATAAAATATGAATAATTTTAATGGGATCAAAATTATTAATTACTATAAAACATATACTTATTTATAATAATTTATGATTTTCATTGGAAATATAGAGCCGACAGTGACGGCACGAAAAAAAGCATGGCACGGCATGACATGAAAATATGTGGGTCGTGCCGTGGGCCTTAAAAAAGCCCGTGGGCCCGCACGACATGGCACGAAAAACAAAATATAAAATAATAAAATTAATAGCTATTTTTTAAAATAGTCGTTACTCTCCTGTGCAAGAGGGTAACGACTATTTTAAAATAGCCGTTACCCCCTGTGCAGGTGGGTAACGGCTATTTCATATATATATTTTTTGATTTTTTCCTATAAATACTCAATTATTTCTCTAATTTTTTCGCACTTAATCCAATCTTCATTCTCCTTTCTCTCTCAACTGTCAAGCTCTCATAATCTCTCTCAAATTCTAAATTATTTTTTTCATCAAATTTATTTTAATTTTTAGTCAAATTTCAAAATGGATCCAAATTCAAATGAATTTAATCATTTTGCTAATGAGTCACCATCACAAAATCTATCACAACCACCCCCATAAAAGAAAAGAAAGCAAAAATCAATGGTTTGTGAGCATTTTACTCAAACACAAGAAACAGTTCATGGTGAAATCGTGTGACGTGCAGTGTGCAAATATTGTGGTTTTAATTTGACCAATTTGAGTACGGGTGGCACTGGGCATCTCCGGAGGCATATAAGCGAACATTGCAAAAAAAAAGCCACAACATTTAAAAGGGCAACAACAAATTTCATTTACAAGGGCATCTATTGCATCGGTATGTAATTCAACTAGTAGTCAATCAAATAGTGTAATGAGTGAGATTTCTAGCTTCACAAATAGTCAATAAAACATGAGAGACTATATGGCCAAGTACGTTGTTGTAACCGGTCAACCTTTTTCATATGGTGATGATCCAATTTTAGAATGGTATATGCAAAATAGTGTACAACCTACTTTTAGGAGAGTTCCTATAAATACTTTAAGAGATGATATTTTTAGAATTTACAATGCAAAATAGTGTACAACCTACTTTTAGGAGAGTTCTTATAAATACTTTAAGAGATGATACTTTTAGGAGAGTTACAAAAGAGAAAATTGAAAATTGATGCTAGGAGTTAGAACTCCACATATTTAATGTTAAAATCTTGTGAATCAGATGAAAATGCTATTACACAATTTTTTAATACAAAACAATATGATCATTTATTGACTAGAAAATAGAAATCATTGGAAACTTGGTTTTTCCTTAATGAATATTTTAGAACCTTTAAATGATGCTATTGAACAATGTTCTGGTATTTATTATCCTACAACTTGTTTAGTCTTATATCATATACTAGATATTAGTTCTATTTTTAAATAATATAAAGATCATGCAGTTTTTGGAAATACTGCAAAAAAATAAAAATAAATAAAGGAAATAAAATTTAGAAAATATTGGGAAAAAATTCCTATATTGTTTGCTTTAGCTACTATAATGGATCATAGGGTAAAATTATTAGGAGTAAATAATACGATACAAGAAATTTCAGCAAATCTAGAGACCCCATTAAAAATTTCAGTAGAAGATATTAAAACTTTATTACTTCAAATATATTCACATTATGAAGTCAGACATGGAAACATGACAAGTGTACAACCACCAATATCATGAATGTCAAGTTCCTCCAGAGGTAAAAAAGAGCTAATTTGGTCTATCATCACTAAAGGTAAACAATCGGTAGGTGTAAACTCTTCATATGGTGAAAGTACAAATTATTTTAGCATGGATCATTTGGCTGAAATTATGATTCAATGTGATCAATTTGATATTCTTCGATGGTGGAATTCACATCAAAAGACTCATCATATACTTTCCATTATTGTACGTGATTTACTAACTCCTCCAGTTTCTACTGTAGTATTAGAATCAGCTTTTAGTGCAAGCAAGCGTGTATTGAACGAGAGAAGATCAAGTTTACATCTAAGTGTTGTTGAAGCCATTATGTGTATGAAAGATTAGGTGGCAACAAATTATTTGAAGATTTTAAGAATTTAGAAATTAATAAAAATGAAGATGTATACTAATTCTTAATCCTAATTTCTAAGTTTGTATTTGTAATTTATAATTATAAGTAATAAAAAGTGTTGAAATTCAATTAATATTTCAATGTCTCATTATTTTATTATATTTTATAATGATTATATATTTTTTTATGAAAATGAAGATGTATGATGATTTTTAATTTATGAGTTTGTATTTGTAATTTATAATTATAAGTAATAAAAAGTGTTGAAATTCAATTAATATTTCAATGTCTCATTATTTTATTATATTTTATAATGATTATATATTTTTAATTAATATAAATACAAAATGTAACTAAATATAACATATAAAATATTTTAATAATAATTATTAATCATAAATCAAAATTACCATAATTTATAAATATTAAAATTAAATATTTTTACAAAGCACGTGGGCTGGCCCATGGCCCGACTGAAGGAACGACATGATATATAACGAGTCGTGTCGTGGGCCTTTAAATTTCATGGGCCGACATGGCACGATAGGACACGAAACTGTGCGGGCCTTGGCACGACACGATGGACCTTGAGTTTTTAGGCACGGCACGACTCATCGTCACCTCTAGAAATAGAAGGCTGTCAAACAAGCCGAGGTGATCGCAAGCCAGCTCAGCTCGTGATAATAATCGAGTCGAGTTTAATCAGTATTCGACTCGGCTCGGTAGGCTCGCAAGTTGAAGCTGGCTCGCATACAAAGGGTTGTTTTAGAAACTATGGGGGATTAAAATGTAATTTTTATTACTAAATATTTGTGAAAATGACAAATCTGCCCCATTGTTAAATTAGGAAAACACGATATTGCCCTAAATCTCTAATCTAAAACGCAAGAATCAATCCCTAAAATGCAAAAATCACCAATTCCATACAACACCCATCTCCCCAAAACGCGAAAACACCTCCTTCATCTCTACCACAAATTCAACGCAAAACCACCATCATCACCTCCTTCATCACACGGCAAAACACCTCCTTCATCTCTACCACAAATTCAAAGCAAAACCACCATCATCACGATATTTCTCATACCCACAAATAAAATAACAAAAAATAGCAATAACAATGGAGTCAATGTGAAGTTTGTGGTTGAGAAGGTAATGAGATTGACTTGGAAAAAACAGAACCTAGAGATCGTGAAAAATAATGGGTAATTACCGGCAACATCGTGATCTGGGCGTGCCGATTGGGATGCGATCTGGCTAATCGCGACCTGGGCGGCGCCGTTTGGTCTCGATCTGACCAGATCGAGGTCGAGCAATGCAACCATGGTCTGTCTTGACCTCGTAGAAGTTGTCATGGTCTCCCGGCAGCCGCCGTAGCCTGCTGCATTTTTTCTTTTATTCTTTTATGTGAGGGTTTTATGTTTGAACAAGATTAGCCGCAAGTTCTATGTAGTTGAAAATTTTGACTGGAGAATTGGAGATGACGAAGGTGGTGACTGGAGAAGACAAGTGCAGTGGCGTTGCAAAGGAATTGGATTTTGTTGTAATTAAAGTAATGAAATTAAAAATATTAATTTATGATAAAATGGAATGCTTGGCATATAAGGTCCTGCAGAGGAGATGAAAAAGAGCTTGGTTAACCCCCTCCTCTAATCGAGTTCGAGCCGAGCCAGGAAATTTCAGGCTCGTCTGGCTCGGCTTGAACTCGTCTGGCTCGGCTTGAACTCGTCCTGTATATAACCGAGCTCTGAGCTCGGCTCGATTACAGCCTTTGTGATTTATTTAAAGTTGGGATCAAGAGTGACCCCACTAAGTATATTTGGCTACCCCCTTGTATCTAACTGTACAAATATGATACCTCCCCAAAATTCCATTAGTTAGCATAATAATATAGTAAAATATGAATACTTAGATACAATATATCCACATTGTTTTCCATAAATTCACACAAAATAATAATAATAATGTTTTCCAACATAAGGTTTCAAACCCTTTGGGTAGTTGAGTTGTTGAAAATGGATTTTTGTGTGTGTCATTTAAGAGATCCTGAATTCGATTATGTAGGGATGATCATTAAAAGATTAGTTGAGGTATGTGCAAGTTCTATTGAAAGATTATTTAATCATTAACTTTAAGACTTTGAATGATTAGTTGAAGTGTATGCAAGTTGGTATAAAAAAAAAAAAAAAATTAATGTTAGACTAAAAATTTATTTATTAATATATTATACAAAGTTAGTAATTAAAAACAAAACATGACTCGAATTGCTAAACACACATTAATTACAGTCAGCTTGCTTCTTCCATCTAATCGTGTGAGCCTGTCGCATTCTTATTGGTTTGTTGTCCGCTACCCAATCAGAATACCATAATTATCAACTAATTACTAACTTCAATCCAAACACCAGAAGGATAAAACCGTAAAACAATGAAACAACCTAGGGCAGTCTCGGTAATTCAAAACGAATCATCCCCAAGTCTTCTCCGAGTCTCATTAACACTCACACCCTCCCTCTCGCGACAAAACAAAAACACAAAAAAGCCCTCACAACAACACACAAAAAACACACCTGTTTTCTTCAACATCACATGCTCTTCCACATTTATCCTCACTTCAATCTCCAAATCTCTCTCCTTTTCTTCCTGGTCCTCTTGTAATTTCCCTCATTTTCGATCCCAATCTCCCCGCCTCCTCTGTTAAACTCCGGTGATCCCGTCCGGTTAGGGTTTCTATAGTTCGTGCTTTTAAATATTTGAATCTTCACACTTTTATTATCATTGTCATCTATCTCCACTCCACTAGGGTTTTGTTTTTTTTTAATTTGTTAGGTTTGAGTCTCCGATTTGGAGCTAGGGTTTTGAGAAATTGATTCAGAGTTCGATTGCGAGGAATTAGGGTTTCGTTTAGGGTTTTTAGATTTTAGATATAGTGATGACTCGGAGTTCAAGGCACAAATCGAGTAAGAGGAGTTCAAGAGACGCGAGGGATTACTCAGATTCTGAGAAGGACTCCAGCTTGAAGGACCGGAAAGGGAAGGATGAGGGCAGTAGTGTTAGGGTTTCGAAGGACTCGGGCGGCTCGGGTGAGAAACGGAAGCTCGATTCGAAGGAGAGTAAGGACCTGTTTGTCTCAGGAAATGTTGACTATGAGGAATATAATTCCTCCTCTAAGCGGCGGAAAGACCGTGCTGAGGACAGTGGGAATGACAGGTGGAATGGCGGCGGTGAGGATGATAGAACCGAGAGTGGTTCGAGGAAATCCAAAGTTTCGAGTGAAACGAAGAGTAAGAGGAGAGATGACGATGAGCTGCAGAGGTCGAAGAGTGAGGGGAAGCACAGAGAATCTAGTCGGAAGGAGAGTAGAGAAGTGGAGAGGGAGAGGGAGAGGGAGAGGAAGGGGAAGGAAGGGAAAAGTGAGAGATTTGCTGAGAGTGAAGAGTATAACAAGCAACTTGGTATAAATGAAAAAACTGGTAAGGTAACTGATTGCTAGTGCAGTATGTAGGTGTATTATGTACTGCTTATTTTTGTTACTCTGTTCTTATATATGCTGCCATTTCTTCGACTTTGACCAATTTTGACACAGTTCAATTTGCTGATACAAATGTAAACCACTTTTAATAGCAAGCATATTAGGAATCGAAATGATTGATATGCTGCTAAGTGCTAATTTTCCAGCTTTTTTAGGCTTAGAGGGAATTCGCTCTGATTTCATGCATGGTCAACTTATGGCTTTGTTCTAGTAGACCCATTCGTTGTTTTCGATCCACTTTGTTTGGGTTTATTTTATCCTTTTATTTGTTTATAGATGTGATTATCTAGTTTCTATGTGCTGTTAAATTTGAGGATGGTTTTAGCGTTATAGTTAGTTTGCCAAGTTGATTGTTTTAAATGGATGCTGGGCATTCCTATATGTTACAGTTGTTGTTGTCACTTGAATAAGATTAAGAAGTTTGTATTTGGAGTGCAAAGGAATCCTGGTCAATCAGTGCAACGGAATCCTAGTCAATCAAAGTTATATGTAATATAGTGTTTGAATACAGAAAGATTATGCTATATGAATTGGTACTTTTACCTTAGATTGTTTTTTTCTTTTTGACTAACATATAACGTTAGCGTTCCTGTTAATTGATTTTTATATATGGTTTATCTAGTGACGTTAATTGGATGGTTTCTACTCGCAACAAAAAATATATATCATTTACTTTTTTCCCTTATTTGGTCATACATTTTACTCTTTTTTTTTTTGGATGTAGGATCTAGGATAAAACAAGGTTAAATGTGCATTAACAAATGAACATAAGTGAGAAACACTACTGTTTGAGTAATTTGAATCGAAGCTGAAACTGGCGTTTCATGTATTCAGTTTTCCTTACGTTGGGATAGAATGGAGTTTTAGGTTTCTGTGTCATTAGAAATTAAAGAAGCGCTTTTCTTCTTGATTCACTACAATTAAGAAGCATACTTGATGTGAAGTACAATAGAGTCCTGTAATGATTTGTTTTTTGTTTTGGGTTAGGGTCTTTTGAGGGGAACTTATTTTTGTCAAGAGATGTCCCGCCCTTTTGATGATTGTATACATTGTTTTTTTGTTTGCACTGCTTGTTAACTTTCAGATAAATCATTCTCTCTATATATGAAAATTTCCAGAGTTCTGAAAAAAAACTGTTTTGACCCTAAACTCTATTTTAATCCTTATTCAGTGAATGAACTCTTAAGAATGCTTGAAAGATTTTTCTTACCCACTTTTTGAAAGGATCGATGTTCAATAGTTTTCCATTTGAGGAAAAATGTAACTTTTTAATCATTAGGAAGCCTATGAATTTGGGTTGTCAATGTGTTTTTGTGGTTGTTTCTGCACACCATTTGTTACTGGGACAACAAAGAGTTGCTGGGGATTATTTTCTACTTTGTGGCTCCACATGTTACTACTAGGCTGCTTGCAGGCTGCGGAAAAAAGATGTGTGGCATTTTATAATCAGTCAAGCATTGTTTTATAAATGATCTGATATGCTTTTCACATGGGTTTATTATCTTGTAAATTTCAGGTCTCTTCTGTGGTAAAAGAGCTTCAGGTTATCTTGGTTGCTAATTCTGCTATGGATTCTTATTGAATTAATTAATTATATCTGGGTTTTGTGATCTTTATATTTAGGAATTTGATTTATTGGAACATGAGTGGCTGATAGAACTCAGTGAAGTCATAAGAAAGGTTGAGAGTTTTTGCATATTAAACAAAATAAATAAATATTTGTGGAATCTATAGAACTATAGTTTCAAGTAGAAACAATATCTGTTCAACACTAAAACAATTTGTTGCCAGAATTTGAACTATTTTTCTGAAGGAGAAATACTAAAATATAGTGAAGAATCCCTCTTTTAGATGTGAGACCAGCTATACTTCTTGCACTTAGATTGAAAGAACTGATTGCTTTACAATTTTCGGCAGATGCATCTAAAAGCAGGTATATACATGCTTTTGTGGTAAAATAGCAAAACGAATTTCCTAATGTAGTTCTATACAACAGTTACTAATAGAAACTTTATTTAGCTTTCCATAAAATTTGACAATACTCTGTATTTACTAGTATATGCAGACCTGTAGTTTCTGGAAAGGATTAACAACTTGAATTCCAATTGGGATCCTGAAATTTTCTTGTTGAATTTCAATTAAAAATGAAGAATGTGTTCGCTTGTTAAGTTTGGAAGAATCGAAAAATTTTTGAAGACCTCACAATCACTAATAAATGCTTGTATTGGGATAAGAAATTTACATATGAATATATACTGCCTCCTACAGTTACCAAGTTGGATTTGAACTGGAATACCGTAATTTGTTCACCAGTTAAGGGTGGAAAAATTTATGGTTTTATAGATATCAAAACTAGGAATAGAGGTTTGTCTTGTGAGTTCTAGGAGTAAGAAAAGTATGTCTGGATGATTATATGTCAAACTATATTACCTAAGGACTTATTTTGCAGCAAATACAGTTCACAAATCTGATTTTTCAAAATATTTACAAGTGTAAAATGAAATGCAATCTCAATAAGGTTGATGTCGTTTATCTTCAGAATACAATTTATAGAGTTACATTTTGCATTGAAGCCTAATGCATTGCTAGAGCAAATAACTTGATTAAGATAGGTGAACTATAATTTAACCTTCTTTGTTTTTTTGTTTTAATTAATGAGGCAGTTGTTGCCAAATGTACAGAGAATAAAAATTATTGGGTGTTGGTTCTTCTACTGTACTGAGAAATTGGTTGTAGTAAGTAACCATATGTCTACTTTGGTTGGAGTATAAAGTTCTGACTTTTGATTTAAGATAGATCAACTGGTATAGCTAATGTAACAATTTCCACACTGTTGCAGATATTTTAATATAATCATGTATTGAATTTTTGGGTAATTTGCACACTTTCTTGTATTGGGCAGGAAGTATCATAGAAGGTTTGATGCTAATTGAATTCGCTTCTTGTTTTTTTTCTTTCTCTTGCATTGACTCTTGCTATTTCCTTAATGAAAAAGCAGCACAAGTTTGGATGTACATATATTTATGCCGTTTGCTAGTTATTGTTTTTTCTGGAAGTTAGTGTTTTAGCATACTGCACTTTAAATGAAATTTAAGGTGATTAGTTGGTTGTAGATCTTCTATTGTTGCTATGAATTATGACATTTACTGTTGTATTGAGTTTGAATGGTGAGGGTTGTTTATTAGTTTTTTTCTTTGAAAAACAAATTAGTTAGATTTTTGTGGTTTGAGTGCCACTATGATGCTCGTCTAGCTGTATTGTTATTGTATATGCAATTGCGCCCTATGATTCTAGAGAGGAGAGAATGTCTCATTTATATGAGTTACCATCGTACATCATATTCTCTCAATGTCTTTGCTTTGATGAATTGAACTGAGATATGAATAGCTTTGTGTATTCAGCTGCTGTACAGAATAAACGATTTTTTTTAAGTTAATTTTAGTTGCTGAATGACAAAACTCCTCTTAAACCTTGCTCTATGTCTTTTTGCAGAGTCAAATGCTCAGGATCGGTTACCAAGTCCTGAGTCAGAGAATCAGCTGGAGAGACGAGTTAGGAGAAGGAAAGATGGTTCTGGTGATGGGGATAAACATGATGTTGATATTGGAGACATCAATGATAGACGGCGGGATGATGTTGCTAACGATGGAAGAATGAAAGATGAGAAGCATAAGGATGAGAGATATAGGGATAAGTTCCGGGAAGACGTGGACAGAGACAGCAGGCACCGAGATGACAAGCAGAGAGATGAACGCCCTGCCAGAGATCATACTAGTAGTAGGTCTGATGATAAGCACTTTAGGGATGAAAAAGATGCGACAGAAACTAGACATAGGAAATCTAAGCCACAGGACAGTGACCGTGATCGAGAAGGTGAATATGACCATGATCGTGATCATGATGAGCGTGATCACTGCCGGGAGCGTGATAGAGAGCATGATCATGATCATGACCGTAATCATGATCGTGATCGCAATCGTGATCATGATGGAGACCGTGAATGGGATCGGGAGCGGAATCGGGAACTGGAGCGAGATCGAGATCGTGACCGCCGTGACCGTGACCGTGACCGTGGCCGAGATCGAGAGCGGGAACGAGAAAGAGATCGAGACCGAGATCGAAACCGTGATCGTGATCTTGACCATGATCGTGATAGAGATCTTGATCATGATGGGTCACACCTTGAGGACCGGGGTTTCAAATACAAAGATAGCAGAGGAAAAAAGAGATCCCCTGATGAGCGTGATGATTCCAATGATACTAAATCTAGAGGTATCAAAACACACTATCCTGACATGGAAGGCAAATCTTTGAGCAGCAGTAGACTTGAGTCAGATGCAGATAGGGGAAGGTCCCAGTCACGTCAAGCCTATGTTGATTCTACTGTAAGTAGCAACAGAAGGAGAACTTCTCCCAGCTCCAGTTCACATGGTGGCGATGAGTACAGGTATATCTTTATAATCTGAATATTTTCTACTTTGATAAACGCTATTAAGAATTGGCATTTAGGTCAACAGTATTCCTTCTGGTGGTTATACCTGCCAAATTGTTCACATATTGGGTGATTTTAATGGTGAGCACTTTTGAAGTTCTAAGGTTTTAGGTTAGTAAATCACATTTTTCAGATATCATATTTATATAGTTTTGATCATGTTCAATGGTGACATGCATCTCTTACAGGTGGAATGTGCCACTCTATTGCCTTGTTTTCTATTGTTTTTGAATTTAATGGTAACTTTTAATAGCATTTTATTTTTGTTTGCAGACATTCAAAGCAGGAAGATCTGAAGTACAGAGATTCCGTGACAGAACAAAGGCCAAAAGCAATTTCCTCAAGGGAAGTAACTGGTTTTTCAGGAGTATCAGATAGAGGTTCTAAGTATAGATCGACTGAGAGAACCAGTAAAATTGATGATGGCCATTTGGGGGAGTTATCGGTTGAGAGGTCTTCCAGTTCAAAAGCTTCACCCATGGGCTTGATAGAAAGATCTCCTTCTTCGACAAGTCATGATCGCAGATACGTGAACAGAACTGGTATTAGGCGAAGTCTCGATATTGAAGAAACAGGACGGAGGAGCAGTATTGGTCCCAGAGACTTGTCTGCTGGTGAGGATAGGCTAAGTCGGGAATTACCTTTGGAGAAACCTTTAGGGGATGATTCCTCCCAAATTGATCTGTATTACAGTAGAACTGGTCAGAGCAATTCATCTTCTTCATTGCCTCCCCCTCCTTTCAGGGGTGGAGTTGGCAGTCCTTCGTTTATGGGTTCACTGGAAGAAGATGGTAGAGTTAATATAAATGCTCGTTACCGCAGGAGTGGTGATCCCAGTGTAGGAAGAGGACAGGGAAATGCATGGAGGGGTGCCCCGAACTGGTCCTCGCCAGTACCTAATGGTTTCATGTTTCAACATGGGCCACCTCATGGAGGTTTTCCAGCAATGATGCCGCAGTTTCCTGCTCCATCTCTGTTTACTGTCAGACCGTCAATGGACATCAATCACTCTGGGATTCCTTATCATATGCCTGATGCAGACAGGTTTTCTGGTCATCTGCGCCCTCTTGGGTGGCAGAATATGATGGATGGGTCAGGGCCTCCTCACATGCATGGATGGGATGGAAATAATGGTGTTTTTAGGGATGAACCTCACATTTATGGAGGGTCTGACTGGGACCAGAATAGGCATCCGATGAATGGACGAGGATGGGAAACTGGTGCAGATATGTGGAAAGGTGAAAATGGTGATGTGAATATGGACTTGCCATCAACATCCCAGAAGGAGGAGCAACCTGTTCAGGCCCCTTCGGATGATGCTTTGGTTGAGCAGGCAGGTCAACAGACTCTGTATGAAAATAATCATCATGGTGTTCAGGAGAAAACTGTTGATACAAAATCCATTAGTTCTTCCAAAGAATCTTCCAAAATCTCACCTAAAACTTTCCACGAGAAGACATCAGATCCTTTTAAAAAACCAAGTGAGGATAATCTTGCTAATAGTTGTCGTGCATATCTTGCTAAGATTGACGTTTCGGAGGAACTTACTGCTCCAGACTTGTTTAGCAAATGTATGAGCTTACTTAACATGGATCAGACTGCAACTGTCGAAAAAGAAACCACTGTGATTGTAAATTTGAAGGTAAGAGAATCTGTCAACTCTGTTTTCTTCTTGTCTCTCATACATACATCTTTTATTGGTTTTGGTCATATAATATATCCTCATCTTTGATCTGGTAGGATGGTGGAAGAGCAGTTTCCAAAAGTTCCAAAGCTCTGTTAAGTCCTCCATTTTTCCCTGCAGCGGATGATTCTGTTTTTCAGGTAATTATGTAATGAATAAAATTTTAGATTGGTCTGATACGTTTATATTGTTTGTTTAGTGGCTCTTGTCTAAAGGGCTGCAAGTGTTTATAAGACAACATAATGATCCCGTTGTTGAAGAGGCATGAAGACAATCTTTTTTTTGTTCTCCGGTCTAAATAGATGATTAATGATGTCAACAAATTTTCTTTCCATATCAAGCAATTGCTGTGTTGCATGATATGGTTATTGGATCTCTTCCGAAGATTAATTTGATAAAATGTTGAGATCTGACTTTATCACAAAATATCAAGTGATAAACTCAAAATTGGATACTCTTGTTATGTTGGACTTAACCCTTAAGGATGTGGTCTGGGCACATGAAATGAATGCATCACTATTAGTATTACTAGAAAGCTGGCTTCTGATATGTATTATTATAATCTTGGTTTCTGAATGAACTTAATAGACTTTTGTTTTAAATTGTTGGAAGCTCAGTTACAGCCAAACTTTGTTTCTGTTTAAGTTAAAGAACTTAGAATCTGAATAAGCTTAGTCTTTCTTTCCTTTGCTGACATTGTGATATCTTATGTGCAGAGAGCCATGGACCAATACAAGAAACAGAGGGTACAGATCAGTTGCCTGCAAATTGTTAACGGTGGGACAGTAGATATCATTTCAACATGTAATCCTGAGAAAGTGGGGCAAGGTTCTCCTTGCGATGTGGAAAAGGCAGAGGAGTTGGTCTTGATTTCTGATACTGAAATGTCTGAGGCACCAATGCCAGCTTCGGATCAAAATAAACCCGAAGGTATTCCACATAAGGATGTTCAGGAGACACTAGAGGAGCTGGTTTCAACTCCATCTCAAGTAGTGGCTGATCACAATGATGCACCTCCACTAAATTTGGAAGTGCCTGATCAATCTCTTACACCTAAGAGCGTGGAAGAATCTGAACCAGTTGTTAATGGGGATAAGATGGATGGGATGACTTGTGAGCAGCATATGATCTCAGAAGATGCAGATGGAGATCAACTGCCATCTCCTGATAATGCATCTGCTGCAGCTCCCATTGTGCCTGCTGACGGTAATGAGATAATAAATGAGATAAGCATCACAAAAAGCAATAATTCTGTCTGTACTGCCGAGGAAAGGCAGGCATTAGCTGATGCAATTAGTGATCCCATAGTTTTATCGGATGGGTCTCCGAAAGTATCTGAGGCTTTGATGCCTGGTTCAAATGAGTCTGAGTCGGTAATTTTAAGTCGGATACATGATTCTCCTGAAAGTACACATTGAAACAATTTCTATATCCATGTTTCTTAATGCATTTTTGCTAATTTTTGCTTCTTTTATTCTGTTGCCGCTTTATTTCTGAGGAATAAAAGGAAAAATCTGTCGTTTTGAGTCCTTGGATTAGGGTTCTTCTTCCAAATCCCCATAATTAATATCATTTGCCTTCTACACCTTCTCCACTTTAGTTTCTTGAACCCCAAAGTGATGTGCATTGTTCTTGGTGGTCCTGCTATGACGTTCATCTGTGGAAAGATCAGGTAAGTATTTTGATGGTTGATATTATATGCACTCACGCACACACATAAGGGAAATATTGGCTTTGAATAATCAACTTCTGTGAGACTATTATCCGGTTTGTTGACTTGATAGAAAGGAAATCTTGGAGGTGGTATTGAAGATTGTTTGGTCTAGTTCTTTATGCTGTGCACAAGAGTAAAGCCTACATTCATGTCATCTGTATAACCGTTCAGTAACATCACGTAATATGCATTTATTTAGATTAAACTAATCAGATGACTGCTGTTGATATAATAAAACTAAATGCTGAATGGACATACAGATAATGTGTTATATATAATTGAATAATAGTTTGATAAACAAGTGTTGTAGTTGCTGAGCATGGCATGTTTGAATTTTCTGGTTGAAAATTGTCTATGGGGGAATACTGCTTATTTGGGTTCTAACATAACATGACCCCCTTTGTTGATTTTCTCTTTTGAAAGCAATTACACTGGATAAAGTCAGGTTTAGAAAATGTATTGGATTTTAGTTGACTGTTTTGGGCTGTTGAGTCTAGTCCATTAAAAAAAAAAAAAAAAAAAAAAAGATAATAAAATAATGAATGAAGAAACTTTTCGATAATCTTTGGATAAATACAATAACTGCCTTTCTTGCAACCAGGGGCAAGCAGTTTCGGGTATTCTGTATTTTTCGGGAGAATCGAAACTAGAATTGCACAGTACAGGTTTTTAAAAAAAGGAACCGAAATCAGAATTGTACAGTGTAAGTTCTTAAATTTAAGGAATCGGAACCTAAAATGTAGATTTCGATTCTTTTCATAGGTATCCTATAAAAAATCAATTACCCCCTTATTAGTTTAAAAAATAACAAAAATACTTTAAAAGTTTACAAATATACTCCTAACAAATTTTAATTACTCATTCATTTGTGTCCAATGTGACTCATAAATCCTCTAATCTTTAAAAAACACCTGAATTCAATCAATTTATCACAATTTACATAAAATTCCTCAATCAAAACGAAAACACAAACAATTAATTAAATTAATTAAACAATACTATAAATCATAATTTAATATTATAATTAATAAAATTTCTTATCATTTAATTAAGTATTGTAATAATGATTATAATAGAATATTATAATTAATTAAGTAATTATACTATAAATCTATAATGTAATGTTATAATTAATTAAAATTTTAATCATTTAATTATATAATGTACAAATGTAGTAAATCATTAATGTTTATAATGTAATGTTATAAATTTATAATTAATTAAGTAATCATTTAACTATGTAATGTTATAATTAATTAAGTGATTGTAATATAATATAATGTTATTATTAATTAAGTAATTATTTAATTATAATGTAATATTTTAATTAATTAAATTTCTAATAGTTTAATTAAGTATTGTATTAATGTTTATAATATAATGTTATAATTAATTAAGTAATCATACTATAAATTTATAATATAATGCTATAATTAATTAAATTTCTAATTATTTAGTTAGGTATTTTGCTAATGTAGTAAATTACTAATGTTTATAATATACTGTCATAGTTAATTAAATAAATATTTAATTATGTAATATTATAATTAATTATGTGATCATATTATAATGTAATATTATAATGAATTAAGTAATCTTACTATAAATCTTTAATGTAATATTATAATTAATTAAATTTATAATCATTTGATTAAATATTGTACTAATGTTTATAATGGAATGCTATAATTAATTAAGTAATCATACTAAATTTATAATGTAATGTTATAATTAATTAAATTTCTAATCATTTAATTAAGTATTGTGCTAATGTAGTAAATTATAAATGTTTATAATATAATGTCATAATTAATTAAGTAATCATTTAATTATGTAATGTTATAATTAATTATGTAATCATACTATAATGTAAGGTTATAATGAATTAAGTAATCATGCTATAAATCTTTAATGTAATATTATAATTAATTAAATTTTTAATCATTTAATTAAGTATTGTACTAATATTTATAATGGAATGTTATAATTAATTAAATTTCTAAGTATTTAATTAAGTAATATATTACATTACTAGTATAATGTTATAAACTTATAATTAATTAAGTAATCATTTAATTATAGTGTAATGTTATGATTGATTAAGTAATCATTTACCTAATAATGTATTAATGTTTATCAATTTATCATATATAATTAATTAATTACTAATTTATATACTTAGAACTTGATAATTAAAGTAAATAACTAAATATTATATTATTATTCAATCAAATATACTATTTTATTCAAAAATAATTCTTTTAATTGGTCATAATTCCAATTATACACTTAATTAATCAAAACTTTAATATTAATATATTATAATATATTAAAGTTTTTTTATATAGTGTAGTTTATATGTAATAAGTATGATTGTATATTTATTTAATTAAGTTATTTTAAAAATTTAACTTTTTCCATTTTAATTTTTTTTATGTAAAATTACAATGGATCCCTCATTCTTCATAGATATTTCATTTCAGCCTAGATTCCAAAACAGGGTACCCTTTCCAAGTTCCAAGCAGGTTTCAAACCTGGTACTCGCTACAAGTTCTTTTTTCCAGGTTCCGGTTCCTACATGCCGGAATTAGAACCGCACAGTGTCGGTTAAAAAAAAAAAAGGAACCGAAACCTACCTGCACAATGTCAGTTCTGAGTAGGTTCTGATTCTACCCATAGGTTTTGGTTCTACCCGTTACCCATGCTCACCTCTACTTGCAACTTGAAGATAACACCCTTGGATATAGTTAAGCCCGTTAGCTAAAAGGTTTGTCATCCCATCAAAAGAAGAGAAGTAATTTTATGATAATTTCAATTAATTGTTATAGAATCCCATCAATTTATTTATTAATTTGTGTTAGATTAGTGGTCATAAGTGAGAAATGAGATTGATGTGTTTAACTGTTTATTGAAACCATTCAAATTCTGGTACACAAAAAGGGACAGTTGAAGTTGACATGTCGTTTACATCATTAGACTACAAATGACGAGTGGTCAAGAAGAAATAGGTATGTAAGTGTTTTTCCTCGTCGTTTATATGAGCAGCACGCAGATAGCATATCGTCCAGAAACTAATGTGCCACGTAAGCAGTGACGGATCCAGGAACTTCACTTGATGGGGGTAAAAGATAAACAAAAAAAATTTGTGGGGGCAAAATGTCAAAGTCTTATAGGGGGTAAAATACAACTAAATATAAATATTTATACTATCGAAGTTTTTTAAAGTTTGAGTGGGGGCCATGGTCCCCACGAGTCATTAAGTAAATCCGCCACTGCATGTAAGTACCAATTTAGATCAGATGTGTTAAAAAAAAAAAGTAGAAACCGAACCAGTTTAAATCAGTTTGGTTTCAGTTCAAAGAAATACATAAATAAAAAATTTGGTTCAGTTACTGGTTTAAAGAAATTTTAAAACCAATTAATCGGAAACTGGTTTATAAAAACAGTTTTCTCTTTAAAATTAAAAAATATTAAATCCCCAAATCTTTTTCTCTTTACTTTCACATTTTACGCATTTTTCCACTTTTTTTTTTTCACACAAACACACACATTTCTTCTCAATCCTTATTGATTTTTATTTTTCTCTTCCCTCTCAAAATAAAAAATAAGTTAAATTAAGAAAAAAATCAAAATAAAAAATAAGTTAAAGGGAAAATTGGTTAACCGGTTTTCTCCTTAATGAAAAACCAATTCGGTTTAAAAAATCGGTTATGAACACCCCTAATTTAAATGATCTTTAATTTTTATTTCCCAACTTATATAAATTATATTAAATAACCCAATTTTGGGTCTCAATAAAAAAATAATCCGTTTTTGAAAGTGTGAAATGGTCTTATTCCAAAATCTGTTTGATCAAATTATCTATTAGAAGATCCCCCACATATTCAAGTTGACCTAAGCAGATTTGTTTGTTCCGAAGAAAGGCAGTTCGGCCCGGTTAGGGCCAGGAAGAATTACCAGTCTTGAAAGAAGAAGGAAGGGGGCTATCGACAAGGGTCTATTGGTCATTTTAATAAACTCTATCCAATAGAAAACGATAGATTTCCAATCTCACTTTGGGGACTTTAGTTAGAAAAAGTAATTTGGTCTAAACTTTTGGAATAAAACTTTTACAAATGTGCTATTTCTCAATTCACACAAAAAAACAAGAGTTAATATTATATTAAAATAATATTATGAAATATGAAACGTTAATTCAATGCATATAAATTAGTAAAGTATCAATAAAAGGTTATATTTGTATATAAATTAATAAGTTATGTTAAAGTTACGTTAGATAAAAATTTAATACAAAATATTTAGTGAACTTNATATTATAAATCTATAATTTAATATTATAATTAATTAAATTTTTTATCATTTAATTAAGTATTGTACTAATGTTTATAATATAATATTATAATTAATTAAGTAATCATACTATAAATCTATAATGTAATGTTATAATTAATTAAATTTTTAACCATTTAATTAAGTAACGTACTAATGTAGTAAATCATTAATATTTACAATGTAATGTTATAAATTTATAATTAATTAAGTAATCATTTAACTATGTAATGTTATAATTAATTAAGTAATTGTAATATAATGTAATGTTATTATTAATTAAGTAATTATTTAATTATAATGTAATGTTTTAATTAATTAAATTTCTAATCATTTAATTAATTATTGTATTAATGTTTATAATAGAATGTTATAATTAATTAAGTAATCATACTATAAATTTATAATGTAATGCTATAATTAATTAAATTTCTAATTATTTAGTTAGGTATTGTGCTAATGTAGTAAATTACTAATGTTTATAATATAATATCATAATTAATTAAATAATTATTTAATTATGTAATGTTATAATTAATTATGTAATCATATTATAATATAATGTTATAATGAATTAAGTAATTATACTATAAATCTTTAATATAATACTATAATTAATTAAATTTATAATCATTTGATTAAGTATTATACTAATGTTTATAATGAAATATTATAATTAATTAAATAATCATACTATAAATTTATAAAGTAATGTTATAATTAATTAAATTTCTAATCATTTAATTAAGTATTATGCTAATGTAGTAAATTATAAATGTTTATAATATAAAGTCATAATTAATTAAGTAATCATTTAATTATGTAATGTTATAATTAATTATGTAATCATACTATAATGTAATGTTATAATTAATTATGTAATCATACTATAAATTTTTAATGTAATATTATAATTAATTAAATTTGTAATCATTTAATTAAGTATTGTATTAACGTTTATAATGGATTGTTATAATTAATTAAATTTCTAAGTATTTAATTAAGTAATGTATTACATTACTAATATAATGTTATAAACTTATAATTAATTAAGTAATCATTTACCTAATAATGTATTAATGTTTATCAATTTATCATATATAATTAATAAATTACTAATTTATTACAGATATACTTAGAACTTGATAATTGAAGTAAATAACTAAATATTACTCCCTTCGTTTTTTTTTTAAGTATCATTTTGAGGGTATAATTTTTTTTCTAAATAAGTGTCGCTTGTCTTGTCTCAGTTGTCTGATATCTCTATTCTCCCATTTTTGTGGTGCCCACATCTCTTCTCTCTCTCTCTCTTTCTCTGCTCTGCGTGTCTGCCTCAATCTTCTCTCTCCACTTTTTTGTATGCCCATGCCTCCTCTCTCTTTTTGTTTATATTAAAAAATTCAGTGCATAAAAAGGTGTGCAATTAACTAAAGCGTCATTTATTTGAAAACGGAGGGAGTATATTATTATTCAATCAAATATACTATTTTATTCAAAAATAATTCTTTTAATTGGTCATAATTCCAATTATACACTTAATTAATCAAAACTTTAATATTAATATATTATAATATATTAAAGTTTTTTATATGATGTAGTTTATATGTAATAAGTATAATTGTATAATTATTTAATTAGGTTATTTTAAAAATTTAACTTTTTATTTTAAATTTTTTATAGTAAAATTACAATAAACCCCTCATTTTTCACAGATATTTATTTCAGCCCAGTTCAAACAGGTTCTAAAACATGGTACTCGTTGTAGGTTCCAAGTAGGTTCCAACAGGTACCCGTTACAAGTTTTTTTTTTCAGGTTCTGGTTCCTTCACATATAGGAACCAGAATCGAAACCGCATAGTGTCAGTCCAAAAAAAAGGAACCGAAACCTACCTGCACAATGTCAGTTCTGGTAGGTTCTGATTCTACCCATAGGTTGGTTCTACCGTACCCATGCTCACCTCTACTTGAACTTGAAGATAACACCCTTGGATATAGTTAAGCCCGTTAGCTAAAAGGTTTGTCATCCCATCAAAAGAAGAGGAGTAATTTTATGATAATTTCAATTAGTTGTATAGAATCCCATCAATTATTTATAATTTGTGTTAGATTAGTGGTCATAAGTGAGAAATGAGATTGATGTGTTAACTGTTTATTGAAACCATTCAAATTCTAGTACACAAAAAGGGTCAGTTGAAGTTGACATGTCGTTTACATTTAGACTACAAATGACGAGTGGTCAAGAAGAAATAGGTATGTAAGTGTTTTCCTCGTCGTTTACATGAACAGCACGCAGATGACATATCGTCCAGAAACTAATGTGCTATGTAAGTCAATTAGATAAGAGGTGTTAAAAAAAATGTAGAAACCGAAAAGTTAACTCGGTTTGGTTTAAAGAAATACATAAATAAAAAATAGATCGGTTACTGGTTAAAGAAATTTTACAACGGTTAATCGGAAACCGGTTTATAAAAACGGTTTCTCTTTAAAATTAAAAAACACAAATCCCCAAATCCTCTCTTACTTCAATTTTATGCATTTCTCCACCTTTTTTTTTTTCACACAAACACACACATTCTATCAGTCTTATCAATTTTCATTTTTCTTTCCCTCTCAAAATAAAAAACAAGTTAAATTAAGAAAAAACAAAATAAAAAATAAGTTAAAGGGAAAACTGGTTAACCGGTTTTCTCCTTAATGAAAAACTAATTCGGTTTAAGAAATCGGTTTAATCAGTTATGGACGATCTCTAATTTTTCCCAAATTATATTAAATAACCCAATTTTGGGTCTCAATAGAAAAGTAATCCGTTTTTGAAAGTGTGAAATGGTCTTATTCCAAATCTTTTGATCAAATTATCTATTAGAAGACCCCCTACATATTCAAGCCTAATTCAGATTTGTTTGTTCCGAAGGAAGGCAGTTCGCCCCGGTTAGATTAGGGCCAGGAAGAATTACCAGTCTTGAAAGAAGAAGGAAGGGGGCTATCGACAAGGGTCTATTGGTCATTTTAATAAACTCTATCCAATAGAAAACGATAGATTTCCAATCTCACTTTGGGGACTTTAGTTAGAAAAAGTAATTTGGTCTAAACTTTTGGAATAAAACTTTTACAAATGTGCTATTTCTCAATTCACACAAAAAAACAAGAGTTAATATTATATTAAAATAATATTATGAAATATGAAACGTTAATTCAATGCATATAAATTAGTAAAGTATCAATAAAAGGTTATATTTGTATATAAATTAATAAGTTATGTTAAAGTTACGTTAGATAAAAATTTAATACAAAATATTTAGTGAACTTTTATATTTGATATTGCAATTCAAAGAAATAAAAATTACCCTAATCACATATTATTCTTAAGTAAATATTATGAGCATGAAAAAATATTAGCATAAACCAATGTATGTTGGAATACTTCAAAACTGTAAAAAATAAACCATATAGGCTGCACATTCTCAGCCTCTCGGAAATGAGGTCTCCTTTCACAGCTTGTCCTCGTACTCGGAAAGCGGTGTCATCTGCTCCTTGAGACCCTTCCGCTTCCTGATATCGACCACGAGTTGTGCTGCCTGCGATCCCGTCTCCAATGGATCGGATGACATCATGTCCCAATGATCAAACACACATTGTGGGAAGGCCTGTCCGGAGGTTGCAGCCCTCAAAGTGCTTGAGAATCCGAAGGACTCGATGACAGGAAGGTATGCCCTGATGTTGTAAAGAGGGGTTCCAGGCCTCTGAATTTCCTCGAAGACGTGACCCCGTTTCTGGTTAAGAACACTGTAAATTCCACCGAGGGCCTGCTCCGGGGCTTGGATTTCCACCAAGTAGACAGGCTCAAGAAGCCTGGGTTTAGCAGTCAGCTGGGATGCGTAAATGACACGTCTAGCAGTTGGGATGACCTGACCGCCACCTCTGTGAATGGCATCAGCGTGAAGAACAACATCACACACTTCAAAGCAGATACCCCTCATGTTTTCTTCAGCCAATGCACCTTCTTTTGACGCCCACTGGAACCCAGCAACAACAGAATCCTTTATTTCGTTCAGGTACTGAACTCCCTTACACATATCGACAACCATGTTAGGGCCTGTGGTCTCAGGACCAAAACACCAGATTTTCTTTGCAAGATCCTTGTCCCAACCAAACTCCTCAGCCAGGATCTTAGAACGGGACTTTGGATCATCCCTTGGACCGATACGACCATCATCAATAGCCTCAGGAAGACCTTCCTCCAACGGTCGGGCTTCCATATAAAGACGGTTGTGCTTGTTTGGGGACTTGCTCATGACAGTACGGCAGGATTTTTCAAGTACAGTCTCACGGAAAGACACAACTGGATCTGACTTCACAATCTCAGCACCACCCATGAAATCTTCCTGCAAATCCTTCAAACAGATCTCAAGGTGGAGCTCTCCTGCACCTGCAATGATGTGCTCTCCAGACTCCTCGATGGTACAGACAACCATAGGATCTGACTTGGCCAGACGTTTAAGACCTTCAACAAGCTTGGGGAGATCAGATGCAACTTTGCATTGAACAGCCACACGCACGACAGGTGAGACTGAGAACTTCATGGCTCGGATTGGGTGGGCATCAACTTCCTTCTCATTTGTCAAAGTAGCATTTTTGGTTATGTACTGATCCAAACCAACCATTGCCACAGTGTTACCACAAGGCACATCCTCAACAGTTTCCTGCTTCTTTCCCATCCAAATAACAGTCCTTTGCACGCTCTTTACATACAAATCTTTCTTCTCACCGGGTACAAAGTTTGGACCCATGATTCTGACCTTCTGACCGGTTGAGACCTTTCCAGAGAACACACGACCAAAAGCAAAGAACCTACCCTTATCAGATGCAGGAATCATCTTAGATACATAGAGCATGAGGGGACCTTCGGGGTCACAGTTCCTGATAGCAGCTGCATATTGATCATCAAGGGGACCCTCATACAAGTTTTCAACACGGTATTTTTGTGCCTTGGAAGGAGAGGGTAGGTGGAAGATCATCATTTCCAGAAGGGCATCACTTGCTGGGAGCCAAGTCTGCATGACACGTTTCATCAATGCCTTACCCATCAAATCCTTTTCATCAGACTTCAAAGCGATGTTAAGCTTTTGCAACATTGGCCATAGCTTATCTTTCTGGTCATTCATACAAATACCAATAATCTGCTTGATTGGTTCATAACAGAACTGAACGAAACCACGCTTGCAGGAAGGAGATCCAGTATTCTTGCTGCTCCACTTTTTAGTAGCTGGGTCAAAGAAGTTCTCACCCCAGAGTCTTTCCATCATCTTAGACTCATCAACTCCAAACTTAGAGGCATACATCCTAGCAAAGTTTGTCAAAGTAAATGCCCAGCCATGCAAACCAGCAGAGAAAGCAACAGTTCCTTTCTCGGGGTAAACCTGAACATCGCCAAGCAGTGGATCTTCATAAGTAGCCATAATAACGTTAGCATTCTCAATAACTCTCTGGAATGTCTGGTAAGCTTCCTCTCCATCAACCTGGAGCTCAAGGAAGCACCTATCCATCTTGTTGACAGTCAAAACTGGCCTAATCCTTTCGCCCAATGCCTGTCTAAGCACAGTTTCGGTTTGAACACAAACACCCTCAACACAATCTACCACCACTAATGCACCATCAGTAATTCGGAGTGCCGCTGTCACCTCAGATGAGAAGTCAACGTGCCCCGGGGAATCAATAAGATTGATCAAGTACTCATTCCCTTGACGCTCTCCGCCATAGCTCTTTAAGGAATCATCAGACATGGCATAATATAGAGAGATACCAGTAGACTTGATAGTGATGCCACGCTCAGCCTCATCAGCGCGAGTATCTGTCATACGGACATCACCAGCAACTTCTTGTGCAATAATACCAGCAGCAGCCACAAGAGAATCGGTAAGCGTCGACTTCCCTGTTGACGGAAAATGGACATTAGGACTCGAAGAACCAGAAAATCAATGTTAATTTCATAATAAGACATCTAGCACCATTATACACTAATAGGAATACTTTGGAAATTGCGGCAAACTAAAAGGACAGAAAATCTTTGTCAAAAAATAATGGAAAGTAAAGATACCCCTAAGACAAAATCCCATGATAAGTAAATATCTCATTCTGAATTCAACATCAGAACATGTTACCAGATATATTGGCCACAACCATGAATAGCATTTGCAATAGAAAAATTCATGATAGGTGACACAAAATCAAAATATCAACAGCAGTTAATAGTAGAGATTTTAACTCAAAAGCAAACATTTAGAAAAACTTCCCAAGAAATTAATAAAGCAAAGCAAAGAGGCTTATACCATGATCGACATGGGCAATCACAGACATATTACGAATGTTGTGTTTGTAGTCCATAATTCTACGGAGCTCATCAGCTGTAAATTTGACCTGTAAAAACCAAATATAATTTTCTCCATTAATACAGAAGAAACAACACAATTTAAGTAAACCGACAAAAATCATACAACGCAAAGCACTTACCATCTTGACGAGCTGTTAAAGAATCACACTACCTGCCCAACAAAATTGCAAAAACACGTTAGAATCCGATAATAATAATAAAATTAAATTAAACCAAAAAATCCATATCCTAATTCAAGGATTCGATTATAATATTTATAAACGATAAATCCGATTATTATATAATTATTTATAAATCAGATTATTATATTACTATTTTTAAATCAGATTATCATATTATATTATTAAATCTGATTATTATATTGGTATTTATTTATAAAACAGTAAATATATATCTCACGAAATTCACCAAAATATAACCTTGATAAACACGATACTAACAAGAGTTTTACAGTATTCACTTGATCACAAAAATCAAAATTCAATACAAACAAATCAAATCAATCAAATACATTGATAATCCTATAGAATTATTCACATCTGAATTACAATTAAATCATCAAAATTCATAACCTAGCTAGAACAACACAAAATTCAAGCACATTATAATTGATCATCAAACTACCTATAACAACACAAAACTGAAAGAGAATTCGTGAGAATTATAGAGCGAGCAAGAGTGCAAACCTTAAAAGAACGAAATTGAGGAAACAAGGAGAGGAGAAGAAGAGCGCTCTATTTAGTCTTAGAGCTCTCGATAGACGAGGCACTCAATGTGGAGAATTTATAGTTTTATACTCTGGTATCATGAGATGCGGTTTACGTGGAGAGAACCTTCCACTAGGGTTTCTCTTTTGAGCCCAGCTCATTTAATCTTTATACATATAGATTTTCTCTCTCCGTAACAAAATATAATATCTTATCTTATATTTGTTTATATATATGCGTTAATTAGTTGCCACCCCTAAGGTTTGGCATAATAATGCTTTCTCCTCTAGTTTTGAGAAACTAGCACTATCACCCTCTAGTGATTGATCTTACACTAGAAAATCTGAGTTAGTTTGGATTATATAATATCATAAGATTAGGGTATAACTGGAAACTTATACATGTAACCCTAATTCTCTTGTTTAACTCTTTCTCTCGTCAGCTATTATTTTAAATTTAAAAGAAATCCTTCTTCCCATCTTAATTAATAATTATCGCTTCATTTATTGTTCTCACAGTTATCAATATGTGAATTTTAAATTACCTTGATCTCGCCTTCTTTTAAATTCTTTAAATCCATATATAATCATTCAACTAATTCTGATAATTGATCCACACACAATATCAGTAATAAAGGTAAAAAACAGAAGAAAATAATAAAAGATTTGCTAATAAATTTACAATATCAAATAGTAAAAGTGAGATCGATATAAGAATACGTTTTTTTTACCTTACGAGTACATAATACCTCGCAAGATTGGACACTTTCTTGTTGCTTCTCAAGCATATTTAGAGCTTCATAGCAATAAATTTTTTGTATTACTGTACTATCATCCTTAGGATTATTTCCTTTCTCTTCTTGTCTAATTGCAGTAATAATTTCTTCTTTGGTTAAAATATATATGATTTGTTGTTCATTTAGATGATTGAGAAATACATTAATATCCATTTGATTAGTATAGTGAAGATGTTGAAGCTGATACCTCAATTCTGCAATGACTCTTTTATTCTCCTCATCCACTTCATTTGTAACTTGCAATTCGTAGAAACTATGGGTCCTAATTTTGTAGTGTTTAAAAGTTAAAACCATTGGTAATTGTATGTGGCTTCACATCAATTGACTATGCATCAATTGCATTTACAGTTCCATCAATGACACTTATCTTTGCTGGTTCCAAGATACGATATTCTATCAATTTCAAAAGTAGGCAATTGAAGCTCTAAATTGAAATTATAATGCTACTAAAATATAAATTGAAATCTTAATGCTATACTACTAAAACATGAATTATAAAATAACATTTCAAAACAATAATTTTTGTAACTATACCTCTATTAAATTATAACCTCATTATAGTAATAAAATTAGTTAGTCCACCATTATGACTATAAATATTGCAACTGGCAACAAAAATACTGTTAGGATTGTTATAATAGTATAGGTTTAGGATAGTATAACCTAATAGCTGCTTTCATTGCTGAGTAGATTAGATTAGATTCCATATTTAAATGGAGGAAAGTTTAATGGACTTGCTAACAATCCTAACACACTCTTAACAATCACTAACAAATTAAATTTATTACTGATCTCTAAGCATAGCGCTGTTACACAGTACCGAAACTATGAACCTCAACAATACTACACAAATTTATTCAACAATTATTTAACTCTTGCCCATCATCGGCTATTATCTCTCACCCCTCTCGGTAATTCTCTGAGATTGGAGAAAGAACAAAGAGAGACTAAAAATTTTTACTTTTACAAGAAGAATCAATGGAGAATAGCGGGAAGAAAGATACCAAACATGTTCCTGATGATCTCGTTTACAATATCTTTCAGAGACTACCAGGAAAATCACTTTTGCGTTTAAGATGCGCCTCTAAAATGTGGTGCAACAATATCGATGGCATCTCTTTCGCCAATTCACACGAAGCATTATGTACAGCCGGTGATGTGGTTTCTGAAGAGCCTCAAGTTCTGTCCGTGCCTTTACTGCTGGGTAGTATAGTGAAGAAAGTGCATTCACTTGTTTATGATGGTAATGACAATCTCATGAAAAGAAATGAATATCCAATCCTTGAGTTCTTGTCAAATAAACAAGGTAGAGACTATAGGATCAGTCAAGTTGCTTATGGTTTATTATGTATTGAAAAAGTCGATCATGCACAGGAAACGTTCCTGTGCAATCCTCTCAGAGGAGAAGTTTTAGAGCTACCAGGGCCGGGTCTGACTAATAGAGAATCCATTGGGCACACGATGTGGTACGGAATGGGATTTGATTCGACAACTGATTGGTACAAAGTTGTTCGGATGTATTATGTGTATGAAGTATGCGAATTTGCAGCTGAAGTTTATACTTTAGGCACAGATTCATGGCGACGAATCGCCACAACTCCCTCTTGTTATTTAAGTTTACCTGGAGTTTCTGCATACGGAGACATGCACTGGAGGCGTCATGCTTGTAGCAATGAAAGCGAGGAAGAGCGTGGGAAGATGATCCTAACTTTTGATTTCAAGAAAGAGGAATTCAAGTGGCTTTCTCATCCGGACTTCGGATGTAAACCTTGTGAAGCGTTCAGGTTGATTAATCTGAGAGGATCACTTGCTGTTGTTAGCTTTCCATCAAATATACTCATTGAGATATGGGTGCTGAAAGATTATAAAAGTGAGCACTATTGGGAAAGAGAGCACAAAATAATCATTGATCAATTGTGGGTAAGGGAACCAGAAACTGGCATTATAAAATGTGATAATGATTTATCTTTATGGAAAAAACATCACAGAGCAAATAACACCTTCTCTGCTGGCGTTGGAGCTGCCGGAGTCGGCACTTTGGGACATGATGGCATATTTTTTGATACTAACAATGATAAAGAAATGTTTCTTCTTGATCTACAAACTGATCGCCTTTGGTACAAGCAAAAGCAATTCCCATTGGTAGAGGGTTGTGAAGGATACAATTTTCACAAGGATATATTCAATTACACAGGAAGTGTTCTTTCTCTCAGAAATTTCGCCAGAAACTATGGAATTTTTGAGGAATCAGTTGAAGATATGGATAGTCAGAAATACAGTTTTCTGAAGACAGCTCGGCATGTTTATATTTCTCCTTTGTAGACGATGAAGAAGAGTAATTTTCCTTTCTCTCCATAGGATGCCTGGTTATTAATTAAATTTTCTTTTAATCAGGATTTGATTGCTTGTAAGCATGAGTACTTTGTATCAAGAAATTAAAATAAATTAATTAAAAATCTTGATTGTAGTTATGCAATCACCCCATATAACATGATTAAATGAAATTCACTTGTACAAGGTGGAAATTGGAAAGCCTTTTAACATTACAAATTAAGATCATCAATGGATTCACTTAGGGTGCTTAGTTCTGATAATGTTTTAATACAAAAAAAAAAAAAAAATAAATAAATAAATAAATAAATAAATTATCAATAAAATAGATAACCTTGAAGATTAATGGAAATAAATTATTATTTTAAAATCAACTTTAATTTAATACAAATAAATACAACATGTAAAATATTCCCCGGCCCAATTAATGTTTAGGGTGAATTTTGTGGAAATCCATGCCGTTTAGAAAACGCTAACAAGTTCCAAAAATCACAACAAAACAAACCCAATCATTATTAACCACCGTAAGTTAAATTAAAAAGATTTGATTAACCATCGTAAATTAACCATTTAAGGTTAATTAAATTAAGTAATTTTATTTATAAGAAAAAATTTATAGAGAAATATAAAAAATATCGATCTCATTAATATCCGTTCAATAGATAACAAAGTATCATAGTATAGGGTTATGTAATTTTGGAATCCCCCGATAAAAAATAAACCCTCATTCTCTTCTGTTTCTTTTCTTCCACCTCTCTCTCATCGGCTATTTTTTTTTTTTTTTTTTTGGTGATTGGGGTGTCCAGGTCATCTTACGCATACCTCAACTAATCCTCTAGAACCCTGAAGTTGACGACTAGGTAAACTCCTTAGTGGCCACTTCTATTAGCGCATGTGAGAACTTGAATTCAAAAGCTCATAAAACCTCTTTTTACTCTTTTACTATGAGGTGACCTAGTATTCCTCTCTCTCTCTCTCTCTCTCCTCTCTTTCTATGGGAATGTTGAAGAGAGTGCATAGACTCACATTGACTTCTAGAAAGAGAGTTCGATGGAGAATAACAAGAAAGTTGTTAAATATGTTCATAATGATATCGTCTAATGTGAAATATTATTTTTTATCTTTATTCAAACTTTCATCCTAATTTATACAATGGTACTAATTTCTTTTATATATAAAATTACCTTATGATATTTATGTACAACACAATGATTAGGAACCCGGCCTAGGCCGGTCTGTTTAACCGGTTGGATCAGGACTCGGGACCTCCACCAGTTTGGTTCACTATAAAACCTGGCTTTGAACCGATTAAACAGTATTGACCCGTCGGTTGGATCGGTTTGGACCCAAAACCGGGTCACTTACATTGAAAACCGATTTACCCTTTTTTGAACCCTAAACCCAAAATTCTTTCTCATTTACGCACAAAACTTCAGTCTCTTCTCTGCAACAGTGCAACCTTTACTCTTCTCTGCACAAATCAATCGAAACTTCACTGGTTCTTCTCTCATCAACCGCACAAATCTTCTACAACCTTCGAATTCGATCTCTCTAAGACTCCACTGTGCAAAGTCGAAGGTTTCTCCTATCTCTTTGCGAACTTGCGATTAATTAGTTTTTATGTATAATGTTGGTGATTTGGAGTGTTGGCTGATGGTGCTGACTATTGAAGCTTGTGTTTTTTATTTTTTTTCTCCAGCTGCTGTTTGGTTTTGGTGGTTGCTTTGGATTTTGATGCTAGCGAACTTGCGTTTTTATGGTTTTTGGCTTTTGCTACTTCTTCTCTTGCTGGTTGCGTTAGTGGGGTTCTTGGGTTGGATTTTTATGCTATATTTTCTTTATATATTTTGAGAGCCTGACGAACATATCTTGTATATTTATCAGTATACAATTTCTTTATATATTCACTTTGAAAAGGCAATCAATTAAAATGGTTTGATACAACTTTTACAAGGAGAAACCCAACTCTTGGCATCCATGTTGATGTTGGTGATGATCTCTTGATATTAAAATGTGTTAATACAGCTCATGGTTTAGGCGCTGATTAGGACACAAGTTTCTCTTTCTCGTAAATGTTTCACTTTTGTCCCCTCTTAAGCAATTTGGTATCTAATAATATCTAAACATTGGTGATGATCTCTTGATATTATTTTAGGGAGAACGATCTTGTCCCACCCAAGGTTCCCACCCATCAAGTTTCAAAATGACACTTTTCCACAATTTGTTAGATTCTGTTATGTTTTTCATTAATATTTTAACGAAAAGGCGAAAATATCCTTAAATATTTGACTTTTTAAATTTTTTAATTAGCCAAAAAGTCAAAAAAGAAAAAATAATTAACCCTTCCTAAAAAGTTAGAAATAATGTTATGAAATTTTTTAAAGTTAAATGACAGTAATATTTATTTATTTATTTATAATATCATCAATATTTCATCACTATTATTCAATAATCTACTAAATTTATAATATTTTTTTATTTTTACTAATTAACATAGAAAATCAATATTCCTAATTAATTAAATAAACAAAGGAAAAAATGTATCTTTACACTTGAACTAATAAATAATCGAGTAAAGATTTTGACTTAAATAAATTTTAATTTATAATAAATTAATTAAGAAATAAACTATTTAAAGGTATTTTTATCTTTTCAGTCAAATATTAACATAAAATACTAACAGAACCTAACGAATGGTGGGAAAGTATCATTTTGAAACTTAATGGGTGGAAAAATGTCGTTTTGCCAAACCTTGGGTGGGAAAATGTCGTTCTCCCTATTATTTTACTTTCTTTTTGGTTGAATCAAAAGACAAGATATGGCATGTGTACTGTTTGTATTATAAAGTGAAACAGATCGTTAGAGATGGATAAGATTTTGTTTCAGGGTCAAGATAATGTTTATTACAAAAGGGAAAAAGGAAGTTTATTTGATGTTTAATCATACATAAGAGTCTAATTCTTTTGTTGGAACACTGCACTTATTGATGCCTACTCTGTTTGTGGGTATGCTGATTTTTTTTCTAATTCTGAAAAAATTATTATTATTTTTTAATTTTTCTATCATGATGACATCAGGGTCCAACTGACCGGTTTAACTAGTTGGACCGTTCGACTTGTGACCTGACTCCCTGTTCAAGTTAATAGACGGGTCAGGTTTCTAAATGTTGGTATAACGTATTGATATACATGCATTCTGCTAATTGCTCAAATGATAGAAAATACTAACTATATTTATCTAGTAAATGTCACATTAGATAACCTTTCTTACTTTTCACAAACAGGTGGTGTGATAGCTACCACATCACTTTATACAAAAACTTTTTGTACATCTAGCATTTCTCAATATTATAATAAGGGTAGTTTTCTCCCTTGAGGTTTGCTATAAGTAATATAATCACCCAAAAGAACTTTTAACAAACATGTTCCCCCACCAGTTAATGACTGTTTGTCTCTAGCACATGTAACATATCAACCTTAATCAATTTCATAAGTTATGGGAAGGAGAGATAAAAAAGAGACGGATAGAAGGGAGTTGCTGTTACGAAAATCGACAACAACCATTGAGACTCGATCGACCTTGGCGAGATCGAGTCAGATGGGTGTGTGGTCGTATTCAACCAGTGACGGGATAAGAACGAGTCGAAAAATAGCTATAAACGAATTGAAGTGAGAAAATATTTTTAAAGAGGTTCGACGGGTGATTCCCAAGCTTACATCCTCTGTTATGTTATTGCTTAAGGGTATGCTTTTCTTTGAGCCATTGATTGATTACAGAGAGTCACTCTCCCTCCCCCTAACTGATTAAATGTGTGGTGTAAAGGTGATTCCTCTCTAGGGATGGGCGTTTGCCCCAGCTTGAATGGGATGAGGAATCCCCAAAAATGTCGAGGATGGGGCTGGGGATGGTCCCCTAAAAAATCCCCGACCTCGAGGACGGGTTAGGGGAGGGGGTTGTGCAATCCCTGCCCCGTCAATCCTGCCCCGCCTCGCCCTACATATTGTTCTTTTATTGAGAATGTTTTTTCTCCTTTACGAGATTGTATATAAAGTTAGAGTTTAAATCATGGTTTTAACTAAGTAATGTATCTAAATTTATGATATTTGCTTTTATAACATTCTAATATTTGTATTAAATTTATAGAAAAAATAATTTAGATAAGTGAGTTTAATAATTAAATATATGTATTATTATTTTGTAAATTTCACAAAATAATAATATATGCCCTAAAAATGAATTTGATTAGATTATTACAATTTACAAAACCAATATAAGAATATACCCAATTGTTTAACGATAATGACTTACAAATTATACAAATACAATTATCCTTTTAATTAATTAATTTATCAATTAATTATGATGTTAAACTTAATCAATGTTGGGAACTTTGGATAATAGGATTTGTCCCTTTCACAAATGGACTAATTTTATTAGTTGTAGTGGAGATAGTGCATTATAATTAATTAATCAATTTATCTAGTAAATTATGTTAAGATTAAATATAGTTATATTAATTCTATGAAAAATTAATTAGTTAACTTAGTTGCATACAGTTAAATAATTAATCAATTTACCTTATAAATTATGTTAAGAATGAACATAATTATATTAATCTTATGAAAAATTAATTAATTAACAGGGCTAACTAAGCCTAAGCTTTCATTGAATAATTAATTAATTTACCTAGTAAATAGTGTTAAGATTAGATATAATTACATTAATTCTATGAAAAATTAATTAATTAAGTCTAAACCTACACACAATTGATTTATAGTAGAAATTTGGTAGAATATACCAAAAGAGTTAAGAGGTTACACTAATAATTTTGTGGAATATGATAAAGCTATACAAATATTTGATTTTCACTCCCAATTTCAGCATTTGAAAAATTAAATATCTTGATTTTGGCATATTGCGTCTAAGATTGTATTCAAATTCTAGAGCTATACAATTTGTGAGACATTTAAATTTTAACATTGTGTATTGTGTTTGAGTATTTATTAAATTAAATTTTCACAATTAAAATAATTTAAGATTATTGTCCTAGGAACATGTGGAATGTTTTTTATCCCTATGAGACAAAAATCCCCGTTTGAGGATAAAATCCCCACGAGGAATTTCCCCGCGAAGCCCCGTTCATCGAGGCCAGCGTGGGACAGGGATGAGAGTGACTCCATCTCTGCGAGCCAGGGACGGTTATGAGAGTTGTCCCCGACCTCGAGGACGGGTTGGGAATGGTTATGGGAGTGGAGATCAAGGACAGGGACAGGGAATGGGGTCCCCGACCCCAACTTGGCCCACGCCCATCCCTATTCCTCTCCCCATTTTTTCTTTTGGGCTTACATGAGGATGTGAAGGAGATAAAGTGTGAGAGGGAAAAAGGGAGAGAGCCCCGTCTGTGGGGCAAGTAATCAGTTTATATTGGCCACATCGGTGTTTTCCGTTCGCTTCATGCGTGTGTTTCTCTACGTGTGTAGGTACAAGTACAACAGATCGCTAGTGGCCTCAATCTCACAGGATTAGACCCTCTCTTTCCGTACAGGTAGATTTTTACGTCTACAATAATAATCCTATATCATGTTCATGTTTTACAAATAAGTTGAAATTAAAAGTTCTTTTATATTTATCCATCAAATTAATCAATAATTTTTATACAGCTTTTTTTAATTTTATATAAGATCTATTTTAATTAAATTATCCAAAAAAAATCATAAAAAAATAAATCCTAATTGTTTAATTAGATAATATTGTATACTATAGAACAAATGCATGTAAAATAAGGGAGCACAAGTAAGCCATCAACAGATCTCGAAATGACCATCTTACCCTCACTTGAAACACAACATTCATTTGATCACCACGTGTCAATCCTCAATTCGCTCTCTCTTCTATATAATACGACAGCCACGACACACAAATAAATCTCTTCATTGGCCAATGGCCCCCTCTCCTCGTCTCTTCCTCTCCACTTCATTCTAACAGCTCCCATCCCAATGCGTCGTTATTTCGTCTCCAACTCCAGCAATGTCCGGGAATTCCAGCTGCAACTTCTACATAGGTCCGTACGACCTCGACTCTGTCCGTCATTTCTTCGACTCATCTCCCCCTGCTGGCTCCTTAACGTTACGGGCACAGCTCATCCCTTTGGTTTCTAAATCCTAGGGCTAGAAATTTTTTGCCAAATATGAAATGAAACTAGACTGGTAGGGGCAAATCTCCCTTAATTCTTATGAGAAAGATTATTACTAGCTCATACTTTGTTATTAGTACAGTAGCGCTGCCGTTAATTTATGCGATAATGTTTCTGGACTGTTAGCACAGCTTTTAAATTAAAGTTATTATTATTAATTTATGTTTTGATTAATTTAATTTGTTAAGGTAATTTGGATGAGAGAGTTATGTTATTCTGTATGATATATTGGTGGATTTGTAAATTCCACGAGACAAAGAAACTGATAAGCCGAAAGGTTATGCGTTTGGCGAATACGAATCATAGGAGATTGCAGACTATGCTATCAAACTTTTTAATGGACTTTGTCACTCTCTACAATCGGAGTCTTAGATTCGCTGTACGTCACCTTCTTCATTTTTTAATTCAATTTTATTGAGGTTTTGCTAAATCCTAATGTTAAGGCATCCGTAGATAAAGTTTCTAGTCAGTTCCCGAGGAATTTCAGTGATGAATTTTGGTGAGGCTTCCAAGGGGAATGAAAGTCTAATCTAAGTATACGTGGGCTCTGATTGTTTATGTGAAAAATAGGTGTAAGCAGGTTTTGCGGAAAAGTATGATGAAATTTATCAATTTTCAAGTAGGTTTATAGCTATTTCAGGGTTATTTGCAATAGATTTTTGATTTTTTTATGGAGTTTTTAGTTGATAAGGTTAGTGGTGAATTTTAGCGGAGGTATTCCTGAAAGTATTATCTAATTATATGTGGACATGGATTGTTTGGAGTCAAAAATAGGTGGAAGCAGGCGATTGGGATGATTTATGATGAAATTATGAATCTCTAGGAGTTTTTTCAGCGATTAGGGAGATTTATAATAGGTCTTTCAATTTAAATGGAGTTTTTGGTGAATTTTAGAGGAGGATTATGATTTTTAAGATACTAGTTAGGGTTAATGAGTCAATATTAGTCGGGATTTGACTCTCTATTGAAGCGAGCCGGAGCCGAGGGCCATGGGATTTTGTTCTTTAATTTAATTCCCTGAAGTTTAATTAATTATATTTGCAACTTGATTGTTGGGATTGAAAATTTGCAGAAGATTTATGAATTTCTAGGAGGACTTTAATGGTTTTATTGCAGGTTTTTGATCATTTTCAAAATTTTAATGTAGGATTATTATAATTTTCAAAATTTAGAGAGTTTTGTAATGATTTTCAACATTTCAAAAAATGGTTTTTGCCTATTTTTCAAAATAGTGTTAGAATGTAATTGTTATTGAAATTGCATCATTATTATTATTGTTTTTGCTATAAAAGTGGTGTATACCTATAATTAGCCAACCTTCATTGATTGTGGCTACATTATCCATAGATGCAACCAAATCTTGACGGAATTCATACAAGGTAAGGTAGTAAGACTACTTGAAATGCCACTGTTATTGTTCATCATCACAGGAGCCACTTTTGTTAATCGTGCCATCATTTTGATTCATCGTCACAACGGGCATTTGCACCGAGTTTTACTAGACTACAAAATAGAACATAAAGAAAAAAAATTATATTTTTCTATAAGAATCTCATAATTATATTCAATTACGTAAAACGAATTAGGAAAATAAAAACTTATCATGTAATTAACATGGTCTTGCAACATAGGACGCGAATAAGATTCTTTGCAGACATCCTTATATAACCAATCATCCCCTTTTTTCTCATCAGGATCCCAAGGTGCAATGTAATTTTTGAAAATTCGCTTCTCACCATCTTCACTTTTGACCAGGCAACACGGTAATCATGAAAATTATCCAACTCATTTGGATAAACAACAGCAGATGTAAAAAAACCCTGAAAGTTTTCATTATCCCAATCTAGTGACTGATCAAGGGCTATATAATCTTCCCTACTTTGAATGGTAAACCACTTAGGAATTTCATTTCCAGGGAAATACATTTCAGCACACAACCACTTAGGAGTTTCATTTCCAGGGAAACAAATATCAGCATACAATTTTCCCCAAGAATCCTTTACCTAATGAAAATGAAAATCATCACATCATAAAATTTTATTTTTTTCTATTACTTTTAAAAAACTACTAACATCATAAAAAAGGAGAAAGGATCAAAAGAGATACCTGATCAAGAATTTTACGTGAATCCAATTCAAAACAATTTGAAAAATTTGCTTGCCATGGTCTAGAATCAGGTAACAATAGAAATGATGGATGTGGTATTGATTGCAAGGATAAACAGTCGGATGCTATCACATTTACACCCAATGGAAGATCTGGCAAAAGTTTAAGGCTCCGACAATTAGTTATATTTAGGAGGTACAACTTAGAAAGCTCTTTGATGCTTTCTGGTATGCTCTCAAAATTATTTCCACGTAGATCTAACAATTCCAGCAAGGAAAATTCTCCAAGACATTCAGGTAATTTGGTGATTTGACAGTTTTCCAAAATCAGGTATGACAAAGGCCTCGACCATGATGAAGTATTCAATACAGGATTCAAGGGTGCCGGTTGATCATCAACATCTCGAGAACTCGAACCTGATGAATAATTCAATACCCAATTCAAGGGTGCCAGTTCATCATCTCGACTTATCTCTAAGGCACGAAGTTTTGGCAAGTATAAGATGGATGGTGGTAGTTCTTTTAAGGCTGTACCAATAGCGCCGAGAACCTCCAAAGCTTCTAAATCTCCAATGTCATGGGGTAATCTTTCCAATTTGGAGCAGTTAATAAGATTAAGCTCTTCGAGAAGTTTCCACTTAGAGATGCCATCTGGTAGACTAGTAAGCCTTGAGCATCCGGCTAGATCCAAGAAGTAAAGCTTATTGAGATTTTGAATAGATGAGGAAGTGATCCTCAACAAACTTTTACAATCCCTTAGAACCAAATGCTCAAGATTTGAGGCTTTTGAGAAATTTGGAATCTCTTTCATGTGTTCAGAGTGACGGAGATCAACATATTTCAAATTTTCAAGATCCTACAAGAAAGCAAACAAATGACTAATTCAAATTAGTGCCTCGTATATTTATAACTTTCGACAAAAAGACCACCGTATAAATACTAAAATACAAACCTGAACAACATTCCAATGTTTAACTTTGTTGAATGGCATATTAAGTTCAACAAGACTCTTCGAAGGAAAATGTTCTGGCACTGACTTAAATGGGTATCCACTCCAGCTGAAGAATTCTAAGCTATTGGAATAGGACATACAGTGTTGAAAAACTTTCAACTTCTTTTCGTGTGAGTTGTATACTCTGAAGAAGCTCATGAAGGATTTTAGGCCATTGAAGAAGGACTGACGGTGTTGAAAACCTTTCAACTTAATTTCATGATTATCTTGTGAGTCGTATACTCTTAAGTATCTGAGGTTGGGCATCTTTAAAACACGACAATCGAACTCTGCATTGCCTATTTTAGATGTATCCAAGCTTATGCTTCGTATTGCTTCAATCTCCTAATAATAGTCAAAAGATACAGAAGGTCATCAAATTAATTTAAGCTTCATATGTTTTCAGTCAAACATTGAGATGACTAAAACAAATAAAGATTTCCGGATTTCAAATATGCAATACTAATTGGTATCTGAAAATATAATAATAATAACAATAATATTAATGCAATAATAATCATAATAATTGTGCTTGAAAAGTAAGACATTATTTTAATATAAAATCTGAACTAGAGATTGTGTTCATACATCAAATGATATGAATAAGACTTTATTAGAAATTAAGAACATAATAATAATAACCATAATTATAATGATGATGATGATGCTAGTCCGTACCTTATTTTTTGCAAATGCTTTGAAGACATCCTCGTGACGCCACAATCGAATCTCTTTACAAGTATCACCCCCAGCAATTTTCCTACCCATTTCTTGAAGCAAATCATGCATTCTTATTTCATTATAGTCCGTCACAAACACAAGACATTTATCAGTAAGAATTTTCATTGTAGATTTCTTCACTAAATCTTCCTGCTCCCCTTCTAAGAAACATGCAATATCTAAAAATAACCTCTTCTCCTCTTCTCCTAGTCCATCATAACTAACTTTTAGTACCTTCTGAACATCTTCTTGAAGAGGATTGTTTTCTAGGTCATTTATTACACTTTCCCAAAATTCTTTTCCCCTAGAATACAAATGGCAACCCAACACTTTAAGAGCCAATGGAAGACCTTTGGTATATGCTACTGCTTTCTTTGATAGCTCCATATAATCTGCAATAGGAGAGTATTGTTTAAAAGCATACTGATTAAAAAGTTGATGAGCTTCCTTCTCCCTTAATTCCTCAACCTTGTATATACACGCATCATCTACTTCACAATTGCTCAACACGTGCTTATCCCTTGTTGTTATGATAATTTGACTTTCCGAGCTCAAGTCAAGGTTTCCAATCAAATTTTCTATTTGCATGAAAGACGTCACATCATCAAAAACAATGAGAACCTTTAGTGCTTCAAGTCTTTCTCTTCTATAGGTAACTCCTATATTGGGATCTTTATCATCTAATAATTTGGACAGTAATTCATTACGCAAGTGAGTTAAATTAGTGCTTTGCTCCGACTCTTCCCTAACATTTTCAGCAAAATAGGATCTTTCAAACTGGTTCAAGATTTTTTTGAATACAGCACGGGCAATAGTTGTTTTGCCTATGCCTCCTATGCCCCAAATTCCTATTTTGGAAACACCATTTGATCCCTTGTGCAACCACGACTCTATTTTGTTTATTGAAGATTCTACTCCAACCAGGCCTTCAGCATAATCACTTGGAGACAATTTATTTAGTCTGTCCAATATATCGCGTGAAATTGCCTCTGTAAGTTCAAATTCTGACCTACTAAATAGAAGAAAATAAAATATTAATTAGTTAGGATAAGTAAATCAAAGGAGAGGGGAAGAAATAATTCTTATTAATGTTACTAAAAAATTATCCAAACAGAAAAAATATTGGGTTCTTCCTCCATTCATGAACATGGGAATAAATTTCTTCACTTAATAAAATATTATCACTTTTGAAAGAAACCGTTAATTTGATTTGTTTAAAAAAAAAAAAAAAAAAAAAAAAACAATAAAATTCTTGGGGACTAAAAGAAAAGAAGATCACAAAAATTTTAAAAAACCGATCTTAAATTTTTAATTCATTAAAAAAATTATTTTAACTACATATTGATGAGTACAAAATTATATGCAGATTAACACTTACGTTTTTGCATCTATAGTCCAACCAGATAGACTAGCTGCTTCATTCAACGCACTCTTCCATCTTTTCACTTTCAGCATCTCCGGTTTTTCCTTAAAACGCTCTTGGAGTTCAGCAAATCCCTCCCCGAAACTCCCTTTTTGATTCCTTACATGAGATGGGTCTACGTTATAGAAAATTGGTATTACAATCTGCTGCTTCGTCTCCTTGCAATCAAGAATCTGTTCAAGTTCTTGGAGACACCATCTTGAAGACGCATAATTTTGTGAGAAAATGATGATAGAAATCTTTGATGCTTTAATTGTATTCAAAAGAGATGTCGAAATCTCATCTCCTCTTTCCAGATCATTATCAATGAAAGTTTTAATTGCTTTGCGACACAAAGCCGCATGGAGATGGGTTGTAAAAGTAAAACGGGTGTCTTCGCCTCTGAAACTAAGAAAGATATCATACTTCTTCAATTGAGGAGTGGCTGAAGATGAAGAAGAAGAAGAAGCCATCCAACTCCACTGATGAAAGACTTTTCAGATCTGTTTAAGTTTGTAGACAATCCATGAATAAGAGAAAAAAGAAAAATTAAAGTAGTTGCGAGAAAACCTACTTGAAAAGTAAATTAAAGTTATTACACTTGCAGATAGAGAATCAATTTCAGAATCTTTGTTTGAAACATAGGTGCAATTTCGTAAAATAATAAAATTAAAATAAAAGCAGAGAAAAATAATATATATTAAAATAATTAAATACTTCATTAATATCCCTAAAAAGCGAATTTTTTTTTTTTTTAAAGTAAAACTGAAAATTAATATAAACAATTCCTAAAAATTAAAAAAAAATACTTTTTAATTTCCTTATATAAATCTTGAAAATAGAGAAAACAATACAAAAGTTTTTTTTGTTTTTTTTTTCATTACTTCTTAATTATAAATAAAGAAATATGATATTACATTTTAATTACCGATAAATTAAAATACAAGTAAATAAATATTACAAAAAAAAAAAAAATTACAAAAACAAAGAGGCACTTACTTTTTAACCAGCCTTACAAGTTCAGATCTGCACTCAAGCTACTAGATGGAAACTGAAGATCGACAACGCTTTGAGACACTATAAATATCAAGAATCTTCAACACAATGTTTAGCTTGTTTGAAAAATATAAGCATAAGTGTCTTAAAATTATATAACTGAAATAAAAACCATCAAAAATAGTAGATTTAAAAAAAAAAAAATTAATATAAAATAATTTATTAATATCCCTAAAAAAAGAATTATTTTAAAAGCAAAAAATGGAATTAAAATGGCATATTAACCAAAAAAAAAAAAAAAAACATTTTCTGCTTTTGATAAATAAGTCTTGAAAATATAGAAGAAGGTGGCTGGAATCTGACGTAATAGCGCACTAACGGCTAGATCTGGCCAGTAGTGCACCAATATGGTCTTTTTCGGCTAGATCTACCATGGATCGGCTAGATCCACGGTAGATCTGGTCGGAAAAGACCAGATCGGTGCACTACCAGCTAGATCTAGCCGTTAGTGCACCATTACGTCAGATTCCAACCACCTTTCGACGGTGGTTGTCGGAATCTCACAAATGTGAGTGAGTGGATGTGCTTTTGTCAATTTATAAATTTTTTGCCAGATTCTGGCCTCCACCATCGGAATATGGCATAATGGCGCATGATATGGCCTTTTTCGGCCAGATCCACCACGGATCGGCCAGATCGATGCATTACCGGCTATATAACTATTAGTGCGCCATTACGTCAGATTCCAGCCACTTTCCGATGGTGGTTGCCGGAATCTCATAAATGTGAGTGAATGAAGGTGTTTTTGTCAATTTATAAATTTTTTTTGTTGCGTTGTTTAGTTAAGTTAACAAACTTACTGGGGTTTAAAAAAGTTGAATATTATGGAATAGAGGAATAGGATATTAAAAAAAAAATAAAACAAAGGCAGCCATAACTTCTTAATTATAAATAAAAAAAGGGAAGAAATATTACAAAAATAAAAAGAGACACTTACCTTTCAATTAGCCCTAGAATAGAAGTTCAGATTTGCACTGGAGCTATCGGAAATTGTAGATCGACACCGCTTTGAGGGACTACTAGTATCAAGAATTAAAATAGAAACATAAGAGATATAAACGAGATCTACATATATAAGCTACTTCAAACTATTTAAAAAGATAGAAAAATAGATTTAAGAAATCAAATAGAGTGACAAACATACAACTTTGAGGGTTTTCCAACATCCAATTGAGCAATTACTTTTCTTTAAGAAATCAAGGATCGTGGAAATACTTGAATAGTTGACTTGGGTTTTGGTTTGAGAGAGACGAGAGAGAATGTAAGAAAGTAGAAACATGTGAGAGAGAGACGCCTACGAGTTGGAAAAAAAAGAGTAGATCCCACTAGAGGTGGAAAAGTAACCCGGCCCGCGGCGGGTTACTTCTTTTGGCGGGTTGGTCCTAACCCGCCCGCCAACAAAGGCAGGCCGGGTTAGGCCCACCATTTTTGGGGTAATGGTTGGCCCAACTCGGCCCGCCGGGTTAGGCTGCTGGTCAGGCTGGGTTAACCCTATTTTTTTATTTTTTTTTGGTTTTATTTAGTTAACTTTTCAAATAAATAATTTATAAATTAATAAATGTAATTTTTTTATTTATTAACATTTCAAATATTAATTCAATTTTAATACAATAAAATTGTAATATAAGAAACATTAGATTTATTCATTCAATTGATGAAACTTTAGCATAAGAATGAATTATATTTTATATAAGACATGGAAATTTAAGAATAAGACTTTAGTATTTAATTTTTTTTATATTTTACGTACCATAAAAAATAATAATAACAATGTGTCAAATATTACGAAGTTTTATACATTTTAATATTTATGATTTAGAAGTATAGTTTAATATTATTGTGTAAAATTATTTGTAAGAGTTCAATCATAATAGTTTAATTAAAAGAATTAAAAAAATGGGAGAAACTTGAAAAAAATAATTAATTTTTTATTTTTTTTGGGCCAACCCGGCGGGTTGCGGGTTGCCATATAGCAACTCGGCCCGCCCGGGGGTTGCATGCGGGTTTGGTTCAACATGGCCCGCCTATGAGGCGGTCCGGGTTGAACCCTCTCTAATGCAAGCCGGGTTAGGGTTGACCCGCCTAACCCGACCCATTTGTTCCACCTCTAGATCCCACACTTCACTTCACTTGACTTAAATATTAAACAGCACACTCTTCAGTCTTCCCCATGTTGGTCTTTGTCCAATATTAAATAATATTTTTTATACCCACATAATATTTGTTATGCCCCGTCTAACAAATATTATTACAATTAATAACTAAATAACCTAGTTGATTAATTGGAGACAAAAACATATAGATTCAGTTTTAAAGATTAATTCATACCTGAGTATCAATCTTCTTGAATGAACATTTTTCTTTGCTTCGAGTTTGCAATTAAAAAATAAAGCAAGAGATTAAAAGAATTAATTTTTCACAAACTGAAAATATTATTAATTTTTCTCTGATTAAAAATGTACATAAGCTTCTCCTTATGTAGAGAAGTCCGGATTTCAAATGAGTTAAATCCGTAAAACAAGACAAATCAAAACAAAGATAATAACATTAGAGTCTACATGTCTCCCACATGTCATCCAAAGACAAGTTATTATATCTTTAATTATTACAAAAGACAATATACAACATCCAATACTTTCTTTTAATCTGGATCGTTGAATTCTATTGGCAAAATCCTGGATGTCCACTCATTATCTTCCGTTTGTTTGATATACGTCAGCGTATTACATGTTGGACATTTTCGGTTGTTCAAATCTCCATCTTCTAGGTTTTTATTAATCTTTGAAATTATCCACTTCTATAAGATCAATAAAATCTTTTAGAGTTTCATCTTCCTAGACTTCCTGGTCATAAGCTAAAACCAACCTTAGAAGATTAATAGTACCTTCCATTAAAGTCTGCTTTGATAGATGGGCTAAATCAAACCCTTCTAATAACGTTCCTAACTGGGCTTGGTTATGCTTGAAGAGTGTATCATGGATTGTCGCAAACCTATCTGGTAACACTATCACTATCCCATTATGGATATGGACAGTAGCATTTGCTTTAACAAGCTCCTTCAGTTTGGATTTAACCAGTAGCAATTTTGCAATATGCAGCTTGGTCCAATGTTCCTCTTCTTTCCTTTGAATTTCTTCTAGGGCATAGGATCCCATTCTCACCTCGTTATCTAACATAATTCGGTACCATGGTTCTACAAGAAATTCCCATATTTGTACAGGTTGAACATTATAGCTCTTTTGCAATGAGGAAGTAATCATGCAAGTGAAAGTGTCAACCTTTCTATTCAATACACAAAACGTTTGTTTAACCTCGTCTGGCATATTCGGGTCCACCATTGCTTCCTGTACATCAATTTCCATTGTATAAATCCATCCTCTATTCAAAAGGTCTTTGGAATAACATTTTCTAAAGATTTTTCATGGAACATACAATTCCATAGCGCCATTAGGATAAACTGCTAATCTTTGGACCAAATCCGGCAAGACAGTTTTTTCCAATTTCACTATTAGATCATTCAAATTCTCGAGTTTTAGATTCACCATGTCAAACAAATGACATTTTCTTATTACCTTGATTTTTTGAATTCTTGCTTCATAAAGTAGAGCAGTTCCTCTAAATTCCTCATCTTCATAAAACAGTTTATCAGCTTCCAGCCAAGCTAACCTTCTTGCTAATTTCTCTAAACACCTCTGTAGTTGTACTTCCCCTTGTCTTGTCACCAATGCGATTCTAATTTGGGTTTCCAAATTCTCCCAGAGTGTTTGGCTAGCTGAAGTTAATCTTAAGCCTTTTGGAAAGCTAAACCTCTCACAAATATCCGCGTCAATTAACCGCTTTTTTTGTGGAGTGTGTGAAGTCACCACGCTTGCAGCGCTTGATGATGAATCCTCAGAATTCTTTGTCTTTGGCAGTGGACAATTAGCCCGTTCATGTCCTTCATGTTTACAAGACCAGCAAACTATTGCTTTCTTTTGAGTCTTCTGGCTTTCCTTCTTAGGAGTAACCTCATTTTTAGAAGTAATTTCCTTCGTAGAAGTACCTTTTAAACGTTGAAATTTTGGGTTTCTTCTTTCCGAAGTATCAGAGTCATAGTCCCGACTCTTTCCTTCTTTAACCTGCTTTGCCACAGTGACGTGCTTAGGAGTAGAGATCACCTGTTTATCCGCAGTTTTCTCCTTTTTAGCAATAACCCTTAGAGCCGAAGTTATCTTCAAGAGACAATTCCTCCTCAAGTGTCCTCGTTGTTTACACTTGGAGCATGAGAAGTGACTTCCAGTTTCCTTCTTGTCCGTCATTATCCTGTAATTTTTCAAAGAAATGTCTGGACAAAAAGTCAGCAACAAAGTTAGATTTACCAGAAATATACTCAAATTTGATTCTATAATTTGCAAACCAAATCTGTCATCTGATTAGTCTAGCTTTGTCATCCTTTAAAGAGAGTTTTATAAAAGTTTTTAAATATTTAAAGTCTATCCTTAAAGTAAATTCTTGACTGATTATGAACAATCGGAATTGGTCAATACATTCTTTCGCTGCTAAAACTTCTTTTTCATGAACATGATAGTTTATCTCAGCAGGAGAGAATTTTCCTGACGCATATCGACAATCCGTTCAATATTATCAGTACCCTTAGCCTTAAGCACACCTCTCCAATACAAGTGAGACGCATCGCTCTCTATAATAAACGTATCTTCATCTTCCGGGAGTTTTAATGGTTTTAATTGCTTTGTCAAGGCTTTGGTCCGCTTAACACAATTAGTGTCTTCAAGTGTCCAAACCCAAGGCATTTTATCACTAAGTTTAAACGTTAAGCCATTGATTACATTAGCGAGATCAGGAACATACTCATGCATGTAATTGGCTAATCCAAGAAATTGCTGTAACATGTGCTTATCTTCCATCACATCTGGAAACTCTAGCAACTTCTTCGAGATATGCTCTTGGAGTTGAATGCCTCTTTCACCTATCTCAACACCTAAGAACTTCACATTGTTCTTAAACTATTCTACCTTTCTTTCAGATAGAATCATTCCATTATCAAGGAACCTTTTGATTACCAGTCTAAGATGATTTACATGTTCTTCTTTAGTCTTACTAAAAACCAGAACATCATCAATATAAACTACACAAAAGTTAGAAAAGTCTCCAAAGACTTTATCTATTTTCCTTTGGAATATTGATGGTACCTGCTTAAGTCCAAAAGGCAGAACCATCCATTCAAACAATCCTTTTGAATAGGTGAAAGCCGTCAAATGAATGCTTGACTCCTCCATTTTGATCTGCCAAAATCCTGACTTTAGATCGAATTTTGAAATTTTTTCCAAATCTAGCTTTATTCAAACAAGTTGATTTGTTTGGTATCTTTTAGGCGTCATCAATAGTTTTCTCATTTAATTGCCAATAATCGATAACCATCCGCGCTTTTCCTCTTTCCTACTCAGCTCTATTCATGACCATGAATGTTGGCGAAGAGTGTGGGCTTTTACTAGCGCGTATTAATTGCTTTTCTAGCAATTATGGTATTTGCTTGCTAAATTCCTCTTCTGCATCAGGAGTATAAGGATAGAATTTGGTAGTTATTGTATCATCATCCTTCCTTAATTTAACCAAAGCATATAGACTGTTCATTTCCCATAACTTTAATGGTTGATCATCAAAGCATGGAGAAAGTTTCTCTTTAAAGGATTTTACAAGTTCCTCAATCCTTAAAGAGCTCTTTTGGCTTTTATTTTCAACCTTCAAGACTATTTCCTTATGTGTTGGTTTATCCGTGCTTTCAGGGCATGCACTAGAGGGACCAATCTCCTGCGATATACCCCGTGCGATACGATTTGAATGATGACTAGGATACAATCTTTGAAAGAAAACATTACAAGCCCCATCCACTTCTTCTGCTTCAGAAGCTTTCAACCACCGTTTTTCCTTTTCCAAAATTTGGAAAACAATGTGATCTACTTCTTTCCTTAGTTTCACTGGTCTAAAATTGTTTCTTACTTTCGAAACTTCAGGCTTAGCAAGAATAGAGATTTTATGACCTCCAAGGATAATGTGGTCGTTATCCTGAGCAAATGGTCTAACTTCTGCTTGCCCACGCAGAAAGCTATTTCCGTGAATAAAATCTACTTCTAAGTAATCCACTATTAGGACTTCCCTTAGAGTAAATTTTTTCTCATTTAACAGTACAACCACATTTTCAACCACATCTGTGATCATACTTTGACCTCCATCTGCAACCGTATTTAGGATTGGTTTTTCCAATGATTTCCAAAGCTCTCTGGAAAACAGTGCTTTCTTGCAATACATTTGGTTTCTCCTGTGTCTACAAGAATATCCAGAGTATACTCCTCATATTCTGGAAAACACAGTTTAACACGAATGCAAGTGTCAATAGTTCCCTGAACTATCGCATGATAATGCATTTCATAACTCATCATTATTTTCGTGCTTGGAGTTTCGTCTTCATATACTGGAATTTGTACAGATTTATATCCAACTATTTTCCTGTTACTACTACTCCCGACATCACTAGCAGTGTCATCTACTTCCAGTATATTTTTCCTTGATATGATAGGTTGAATTTCCCTATTCCGCTCTAGAGACAACGAGTTTCTAGGCGTAGGAAGAGTAACATTAACCTGATTACCAAGTTCCTAGATTTGAATTCCCTGATTTGGGTTTAATTCCACCACGCTGGGTTGTGTCGAATACTGTAAAACCCACCGTTTCGGCCACGTAAGAGCCTTATCATTGACTACCGTAAGTCAAATTGGAATTACAAATCCTGTCCTGGGCCATGAACCTCAGTATTTGCACTAGAGTTCATTCGTATAGGATTAACAGAATTTATCAATCGATAAATCAACCTATATTGTATTGATATTATATCACTAGAAGCCATTAAATCTTCTAGCCCTGAAGTATGAATTCGAAGAACCATAATCTGTTTGAGATTTGGATCCTCAAGACTAACCATATATCCTGGTTTAACTATCCCATAGGCATCTCCCAAAGTCAGGTTAGCGTGAAAACCGCCAACTAAAGCGTTTCCGAACGTAAGTCATCGTCTATCCAGTAAAGCTACCTGAACAGGTACATTCATTCGTTCATGGAATAATCCTTGTACACATATCTGTACAGCACCAAGTTGCACATAATTATACTTGCCATTTGCCTGTTTGGCAAGATTTCTAACCTTTTGTAGTCACTCATCATTCGAGAGTACTAATTCTCCTTCTCGAGACTAAGATAAAGGTACACGAACAAGTTTTTCGTGTATGTCTTCTAAGCCTTCAGCTTTAAATAACCACTTAGAGCATTTTTCAAAAACTTCTTTAGGTGTTAACCTCAAAATTACTCAATTCTCCGGGCTACCTGAGTGATCCTCGTAATTAGGTGATGAACTAATTACCAAATTAGGATTTTCATCTTCATTTCTAACCAATTCTGCTATTCTTAAGATACTCATTAAGACTACTAGTCATTTGCATGAATATACCGATTCGTTGAAGAATTGAAGATTGTTCCTCAAAAGTTATGCCTTTTGGGTCATCCTCCGAAGAATCCGAATCTTCAGAATAATCCAAAATTAATTCATAAACCTCATCATCTGAATCAATTTCGTATCCCCAAACTGGCTCAAATTTAGAAGTTTGGCTTTTAGCGTTGACTTCCAAAAATCTTATTGCTGTCTTCTTCTTTCCCTTATAAGGGCATTTATCTGCAAAATGATTATTGTCACCGCAAATCCAGCAACAATTACAATCTTTTGCGTTTTTGCCAGATGGGTAGGTAGCACAATACCTACGCGCTCTGCGTTCCTTAGCATTGAGTCTACCTCTCCCTGTTCACCTAATAAACCTTCCATGATCCGGAAGATTCCGTTTATTAGTAACATATATTTTTACCATATTACGGAAACGTTTCGGCCTAGAGTTCCTTTTACCAAACGATTCTTTCTGTTTTATATGTTTTTCCAACTTTGTTGTTTAGCCGAACTCCTTGACTCACAGCCATATTGTCTTGGCACCCCATCAAAGTTTTGACAACAAGATTCATTGAACTCAAGCCTTTTGGCCTCTTTATCCAATTTGGCGTTCAAACATCTTGTTCTCATGAGTTGTCTAACAGCTTCTATTCTTCCTCCTAAAGAATCAACAACTTGATTCTTTTCGACTAGAAGCTTAAACGCCTCGTTTGTTGCCTTATCCCATCCTTGGGGAAGCTTAGCAAAGAAAGTGTTCTTCATGACTTCTTGTGTGCCACTAGGCAACTGATAAAAAAATCGTCTATATTCACAGACGAAATTTTCAAACAGACACATGTCACAAAGCCTAAGTTTTGTTAAAGCTTCTATGGCAACTACCTTTGCAAGATTCCTACGGTTATAGTTATCCCAGTAAATTCTCGACAGAGCATATCCTTGAAGAGTGCAAAAATAGCCTCTGCATTCTTCAAGTCCCTTACAGTAACTAACAGACCCGTACCAGCTTCTAAACTTCTCCAGAAGCTTCCTGTAGCTCCCTGCAGTGTGGATCTGAGAAATCTATAAGTATCACTATGTCCAAAATTTTTATTTTGCACATGAATCGAGTTAACAGTTTCCCATGCTTCAATTGCATCCGTAACATTCGTGACACAATCTATGTTTAGAAAATTTCCACTAGATGGTATCTGCACCATTTTAGGTACTCCCTTAGGTATAAACTCCGGCCTTATCTTTGTAGGATAGGTTGGTTTATATTCGGATTTGGAGATTTCCTTAAGGAATCCTTCAAAAGAATTTAAAAGGTTACGAATTCCTTCGAGCGGATCATCTTTAAACTAGATTCCCTGAGTCTAGGGATTAGCTCATCAAGCTCCGCATTTTTTGGGCTTGGAGTAATTTTCAAACCTCCAGTTTCTTCCCTTTTCCAATTAATCAACTAGGTTGTTTAGTTATTAAATATTACCGAAACGAACCGATTTACACAAAAAAAAAAAACCGAACTTTTGATTTGGTTTTTGAATTTTTTTTCCCACCCGTATCGTGTCGTGTGCTTTAGAGAAGACCACAACTTAAATGTTAAAGTAGGAGAGAGAATGAAGCAGTAAGAGAGCCACACAAAAAAAAAAAAGTAATACACACTAATAATCCTCTCTCACCGACTTTTTTCTCACAATTTGATGTGGTAGCTTGTAATTAGTTAGCTTACAGTTAATTAGTAGGACCCATGTGGAACTCATGTGAAACATCTTATAAACTGACTAATTATAAGTTGTGATGTCAAGATTATGAGAGAAAATTTGTGAGAAAGAATGATTGCATTAATTTCAATTTGAACAGAAGTGACCAATAAACGATATATAATATTTGTTAGTCAATATTGCTCTAAACTTTAACAGAGATAATGGCATGGACGGTCCGTCCGTCCCTGAGGACAATGCTGACTATAGTCTTTTATTATTATTATTATTAGAGTAAACGACTTTTTCCCACGCAAAGTTTGCCTTAATGACACATTTCCACCCAAAAAATTTCAAAATACCATTTTTGTCACCCAAAGTTAATATTTTGTTACCACTCAAAGCCGATTCTAGTAGCAAAATTCTACTCATCACCATCATTTGAACATTTGGTCTCCTCTCTACAAAATCTCTCACTCTGACATCTGATATTTTGCCGATTGTTGGCCACCGCAAAGCTAGGATTTCCTATTCTTAGATATTTTCGGCTAATTCCGACGACGAATATTCAATTGATCACCACCATTTGATCCACCGCTTCCACTCTACAAAAACCCTTTTACTCTGGATTTTGGTAACTTGTCGAACGCCGATTGAGAAAGTGAAGTGTATTTTAGATATTAATAAAATATAAATATTGGGTGAGAAAGTGATATTTTAAAAGTTTTTGGGTGGGAAATGTCATTAAGGCAAACCTTGGGTAGGGAAAAGTCGTTTACTCTTATTATTATTATTGTTTCGGGGAAAGCTTGATCAAATGAGAAAAATGCTCTAGTACGACTATTTAACTATATATATATATATATAGTAAAATCTCTCTATAGTTATAATAGTGGGACTAACTAATTTTATTACTATGAGGAGGTTATAACTTAATAAAGGTATAGTTAATTTTTTTTTCTTATTTCATAATTCATGTTTTAGTAGTACAATATTAGGATTTCAATTCATTTTTTAATAATATTAGAGTTTCAATTCAGCGCTTCAGTTGCCTACTTTTGAAACAGATAGAAGATCATGTTTTGAAACCAACAAAGATAACATTCTTGACAGAATTGTAAATGCAGTTGCTGCACGGCAATTGATGTGAAGTCACAAACAATTGCCAATTGTTTAAAGCATTACAAAATTACGACCCCTAATGTCAATGAATTGCAAGTTACAAATGAAGTTGATGAAGAGAATCAAAGAGTCATTGTAGAATTGAGTGATCAAATTTAACAACTTCATCACACTAATTGAATGAATTAATGTCTTCCTTAATCATCCAAATAAGTAACAAGTCATGTATGCTTTAACAAAAGAAGAAATCATTTCTACAATTAAACAAGAAGAGAAAGAAAATAATTATGAGGATGATAGTACAAAAATAAAAAAAGTTTCATGTTAAGAAGCTCTAAACATGCTTGAGAAGCTAGAAATGTTTTGGTTTTAACAAAAAAATGTCCATACTAGCGAGTAATGTACTCGCAAGTTAAAAGATGTGGTAACAACTTTAAAGCATAAATTATTGTTCCAAGCAACTTTAGATAAATATTTTATTTCATCTTAAACCTTTAATGTAACATATTATATATTTTTTTGAAATATACAGATAATTATTACTATGTGAAGGCAACCTTCCTTAAGACGGGAATTAAAAAAATTATAACTTATTATAATGTGGAATTTATTCTTATTTATAACTATCCTAAATTATGAATATAATTTTTTATGACTATGTAGAGTTTATTCCTATATAGAGTATCATTATAGAGAAGTTTGACTGTAGTTCATGTACATATTAATTATACTTCCTTTGAAATTTCTTTGGCCAATTGTATTAGCTAATTGACTAAGTCAAGTCCTGTAATCAAATATTATTTTCTTGCGAATGGATGATTTTTTTATTCATGTTCACACATGTTTATGAAATGTCTATAAATCGATGAAGGGTTCTTCTTCTTGAGTCACCAAACTCTTCTCCTCCTTTAGTCCCAATTTCCTTTTCGATTCCATAAGTTTAAGGTTTGATCTCTAAATTCCGTTTTAATTTGAATTCGGTAGAAGGAAAAAAATATTTCTCAATGTTGTTTTCTTCTCTTATTAAATTGGTTAACTGACAGTTAATAATGTGAAGTTCATCTCTGGAGATGAAATTCTTTGCAGTTCATAGTGGAAGATAATCATAGGTGTGCTTTGTATTTTCTTGTTTTAGAATTCTAAATAAATATCAATATTATATATATGAACTATTATTAAATATTTTTGCAGAGGTCCTAAATGAATACCCCCAGAAAATGAAGGTTATAATATGGGACCTTCTTCCCGAAGCCGCCATAGCAAGCTCTCGAAATCTGGAAGAAGGATTGCTTTATATATATAAACCAATATATGGAGACCAATTTGCATGGTAAAGATTTTAGTTAAATATCTCTTCTTCAGTCTTGATCACTCGTGATATAGATTCTCAGACGTATCGGCAACCAAATCCCTACTTTGCAAGCTAAAACACATCCTTTTATTGCCCATCAATATTGAACCCGGCCTTGAAGAGCTCTAGGCATGGTGTTCATATCTGGAGATGAAATTCTTGTTGGGCTTGGGTTTCCCTCATGTGGAGGATGGCCCAACTAAAGCCCCAAAATTAAGAGTCAGTGTGAGGGGTATATAATATATTTTATCATTTTTTTCTCAGAGAAACTTTGCTAAAAACTTTGGCAAATCAGTGGCAGATTTAATATATTCTGCAGCTTCTTAGTTAATTGGTCTTTTACTTTGTTAGCTAAACACTATAAATCGCTACAGCGCTTTGATTAGCATATTTATGTTGTTTGAGATTTCAGTCTATTACAGTACTGGTAGCAACTTTTATATCACGTCGGGCCCTCGCCATTACTTATTTCAACCACTACACTTTAATTAATTAATAATTCTCTACAACAAGAGCTTAAGATAATTTATTTGGCTCCTTTCCACACCTATTCAATCAACTCCATTGATTGATATATAAATATATATATAGAAATACATTTAATATAAAATCAAATAAGTAGGGCAGAAAATAATTAAACACTATGTACGTAACTCCAAAAGAGACATTGTAATAGTCTTTTTAGGTACAACTTTTTATGATTCTATATTTCTATTGACCTGAAATCTTGTAATAATCAGAGTGATCCGATTGACTTGACGAAATTAGAATCGATGATCACATAATTATAAATAATCAGCAAGTAAATTGAAACTAAAGATAAAAAAAATGATTTTTAAAGAGGTTTAGCAAGTAAACTCTCAAGCTTATGTCCTTTGTTATCTTATTGATGTATTTGCAATTACAAGAGTAATTGTTAACTCTAAAATTGCCAACCCTTTTACAATGATTTTGAGGAGGTTTAAATACTGCTAGGTTGATACTTGTTATAAGAGTGATTTTCGGGATAATGACTTGCGTTTGGGAAGTTGATCCCATGATTTTTGGTGTGACGATCATGCCGAGATTGCAAAGAGAGTTAATCCTGTGATCTTCTCCTCATCCACGGTTTCGAAGACATCAGCCGAGTAACTCGCTTTACTTTTGATCGCAATTGGCTTCTATTTTTTTTTTTTTTTTTATTTTTTTTTAAGTTACAACTCGCTCTAAGTTATTGCTTACTCCGAGTTGCCTGCACATTCTCGCACAACAGCACTTAAAATCAATATTGAATAAGCAGATGGTTGAGTAACTTGGGTTAATGAAATATATTAAAGTTGGTGTACCAAATTATCAATGAGATAACGCAATGTGTTTTAGCTAGCAAAATTAAGATTCATCTCATAGCTGGCGGGTATAAAGTGTCACAAGGAAGAAACAACTTATAAAACTTCAAGACTTAACGCTCAATTCTTGTAAACACATAATAAATTCCTCGATATCATCGGCCAGACAAAAATACCTATAAAACGACTAACATACAAGTAATCAATTAATAATTTACAGTATTTGATTATAATTCGACTTATTTTTTCCACCCAATATTATGGTCTGAACATGCTTTGCCAAAGCCGCTATTGTAACATCAACAGCATCTTTAAACTCGGCATCGTCGTCACTTGCATTAGGATGCTTGTACGTAACTCTTGGAATTAAGTCAATAACTTTATTTCTCATTCTCTCAACTCTCTCTCTCGGTATCTTCAGCAACTCTTCTTCAATTTTCACTCTCATATTCCCCTTCTCTCCGTCTATATAAACCGAGTACTCCTCCCCATCCGCCGGAAGAAACCACCCGTACTGCGTATACGCCGTGTGAGGCGAAAAGAACACCGGAATGCAACCGGCGAGCACCGAATCGAACGTCGACCGTCGCGTGAACGAGTCGCCTGGTGCTTGCAGGCAAAACTCGGAACTACTCATTGCTTTGATTACTTCACTGGGTTTATAACACTTGCTTGAACCTTCATTGTTTTTGCATGCAACTAGGCTGCACCGGGTTGACTCACCGCATTGCCGTATCAACTCGTTTCGGATTGCCGCTTTCTCTACTCCCTTCCGCGGGGCCCCGATGAAAGTGAACAAGTGGGGCCGTCTTAATCGCCGCATTTTCTGCTGCCATGTCAGCATTTGTTGTGACGTAGACGGATGGAAATAAGAAGGGTAAGGGATGCCGTGTTGGTTCGAGCCCTTCCACAGGTGTCTCTCAACAGTCATCACCGACATTTTCCGTACACGTGGCAGATTAAGAAGACAGTTGGCTCCAAAGTCGGACCCACCTGGAGTCCTCATAAAATCCCATGAGGTTCGCCCTAAAACCATGAAATGATCCTTCCCTTGATGCCGGTCCCACCAAGGCTGCGACCGTAGAAAATCCTGTAATCTGACAGCTAACTTGTCGCGAACGGTGTGATTCGCCTCACGGAATTTACTAGACGCATGAAGCCCACCGTAGAAGGGAACGTAGAAGAGCGTAGCACGTGACGGATCCCACGTGCGAAACAGATGATTTTCCATACGTGCATGGAAGATCATCTCCGCTAAGAACTGGTGGGTCGCGAACCACGGGGCGTGGCCCGGGCCTAAGTCCGTGGCCATATCAGGGAGTGGCTGGCCGAGGCCTTGATTTGCTACGTGAGGACACATGTTGCTGTAGATATTCAAGTGGGAGCAGTTTTTGAGAAGGTCGAAGTTGAACTGTGGGGGTAAATTGTAAATGTAAACTGAGAATGGGGTGTGACTGTAATTTTCATTGTTTATGGAGTTGAGGTTTTTGGTTTTGTGGAGACTGTGAGTGTTTTGTTGTTTGGAGTTTGTGGGAACAGCGGGAGGAAGATAAAGGAAGAGAACAAGAAACCATGTGGTTAAAGAGATGAAAATGAAGAGAATGTAGTTGTAGAATCTTGAATTTGGCTGAGTTTCTTTGGTTTTGGAGAAACAGGGTTTCTTGTCTTTCTCTGTCATTATGAGAAGAGATTAAGAGAAAGATGGGGGGAGAAGCAGAGAAGAGAAGTGAAACTCTTGAAAGTGTAAAGAAGGAAACAAACTTGAAGCTTAAAAAAGTGAAGTAAAATGAATTAAGTGAGGAAATGGGAAAAAATTATGGAGTTTAGGTGAAGAAGTGGGGCTGAGGAAAGTTCTAAAAGCTTTAATGAATTGTATGATAGGAAAAAAGAGGCCGGCTTCTGCGCTTTTATGCACATGATGAGCTTGGTTTATGGCAAATATCTATTTCACCCATCAGGTTTACCTAATGTTTATATGATCCAACTTCTCTAATTCCAATACTAAATATGTAAAAATATTTCCATAAACAATATACCATATAATGAAAGTACTAGATTATCTCTATAAACAACATACTATACAACCGAAATTTTCTCTGAAAAATTCCTGATTTTCTTACAGATTATATCAATTTTACCTATAAAATCATCTAGTTTTGTCAAAAAATTGGAACGAATTTGTGTTGGGTCACATAGAAATAAGAGTAAACCCGATGAGCAAAAAGGTAATGGGTCTTAGTTTACGTGTCAAAATTTGATGAAAGGACCAGGTTACCAAGAAAAATGATAGAAATGAGATTAGTCACATCGTGAATTTGTCAACAGAAGTTGCCACATTTTAAGTGCATATTGGTAGAACATGCATCCCTCTACTAACGTATTTAGCCAGATCTACATTTAATAATTAATAAATTAATTAGGAGTTAATCATCTACTTAATAAGTAGTTAAATTTATTTTTAAGTATTAATTAATTAAAATCTGTTGGGCCAGTTTTGCCTTAAACAATATCTACCACATGTCACCTATATTATATGTTTATTTTGTATCAAATTCGTGCATAAATATCCCTTTCATTAATATTAACAATTAACATTATTTATCAATTGGTATTGTTTTTTCCACTTAAGAGTATGAGGGACTCCCTCCGTTCAAACATAATAATGAAGAGACTTGATACCTCATGAGTCCAACAATTGGACTTCATTCTCTCTCTGCAATCATTTATAATTTGTTTTAGTAAATATATAGGTATCGTAAAATATCTTTATAATAATACTTTATATAAAAATAATATCTATGTCATTGAAAAAAAACTCTGGCTCCAACTTAGACTATTTATAAATAAGAATAAATTTTATATTGTAATAAGTTATAATTATTCTAAGTTCATGTCTTAAGGAACTTGCCTTCACATAATAATAAATATATGTATATTGCAAAAAATATATGTTATGTTACATTAAAAAGTTTAAGATGAAATAAAATATTTATGTAAAATTATTTTAGATAATGATTTACGTTTTGTTACCGCACCTTTGAACTTGTGGGATACATACTTCACATAATAATAAATATATATATATTACAAAAAATATATGTTATGTTACATTAAAGGGTTTAAGATAAAATAAAATATTTATATAAAATTATTTCAGATAATGATTTACGTTTTGTTACCACACCTTTGAACTTGTCGGATACTTAATAACTCGTCAATAACACAGTATGTACTATTGATAGATAAGAGAGAAATTAATTAAAAAATTGAAAGAATATATAGATGATATGGTAGTAAGATGTGTAATATATTTTGATTTGGAAGACATGGAATTGGGTAAGCGTGGCATTCCTACGAAGTTGGTCAAAATTTAGATCGAGTCAGGCATAAATTAATCATCATACCACTTGCATTTTGGTCCTTGGTCTTTAATTTGATAGAAGGAGAGATCTCGTAAACCTACTCAGAACAAGATTTCAATGGATTGATCAAAATGAGAAGATTCAACTTAACATTAACCTTTCAAATATTTTTTCAATTATGTAAATATTTTATTAGCTCGTTATAGTTATATGGATTTTTTCAATAAGAAAGGTTTAGTGGTTTGACCAAATAAAACTCAACTCTTAGGTGAAGATGGCTGCTGGTTTTTTTTCTTCCATTTATTTCCTTTAGGTATTGCTAAAAACCAAATTTCAACCATTTTTTTTTTTTTTGGTGAAAGTTGTCAAAATTTTATTTTTGGTATTAACCATGGTTTTAAAACTTGGATCGGACCGGCCGTTCCGATCAGGAACTAGTCTCTAATTCGATCCAATGAATGTTTAAAACCCATTTTAGCCATTAGATCATACTGACTCAGAGTTGAATTGACAGACAGTGTCAAACCCTGTTTCCCATTAAGGAATACTCATTCCTATTAATTATTAGAGTTTTAAAATTGTATTACATCATGTTAATGTCAACATGATGTTAATGGTCTGACTCATCGGTTAGCCCGTCTGACCTGGTGATCGGTCTCTTGATGGGTCAAGGCTAGATCCGGATATAAAAACATTGTTATTAAACAACAATAACAATAACTCTTATTGACAATAAACGATGATTAAATTTTTACGTTTACTGTTAACTAACAAAATAAACAGTTAATTAGTGATAATAAATGGAAAGATATGATCAATGAAAAAGAAAATCACCAACACTCTGTAGCATCAGTGTATGTGATATATTCCGACGACGTCGTGCAACAAACGTGGACGTCGTCAACAACATTTTCCTGTGGTGAAAGTAGTAGTTCTTCATCCTACCAAACAAGCTTTTCTAATATCCGATCTATGGGTAATAAATAATCCAATTAAAAATTTCATACAAAAACAACAATTACACATGTAATTAATTATATATCTGCAAAATCAGATAAGACAGAACATATATGTACTACAAACTACATCATTGTACTAAGCTAGTACGTCTTGACCAACAAAATATTGCTAGATATACTTTTATTTTCTGAAAACCATGCACTATCGATACGAGAGGATAGCTGAACCTGAAGAGCGATGTTTCAAATGTACAACCAACAATGTTTCATCTAATCGTCCGTACCATTTATACATGTTAAAGTCATATAATTACCCAGTCAGTCGCGGGTGAGGATTAGGATCGGAGGCAAATTCTACGACTTGTCGGAGCTCATCCCAGTTCTCATACGTCAAGAAATCATGATGATTCCCATATGGATTCTGAAAGCTTGAAGACGATGCCATTGATATTGGAGAATTGGCTATGGTATAATTGTTAGTGCTGCTCAAATGTTCTGAAGCTAACTGCTGGTTCCTGATCTCGTTGAGATGATCGTCGATCATGAGTGGTTTCATCGGCTTATTAGTTTGATGAACAATTGGAGCTTCGAAACTGATGTAGCTTTCCTGCTGATTGTTAGAGTCCAGAGCATATGGTTTAGAGGTTGATTCCATTAATGTTGAATGACGTTTCGGCTGATGATTCTTTCCAATCTGGTGTCAGCTTTCTGTATGACACAGTTGTCGGCTTTAAAGATTCGACATATAGTTCCATACTTCCTGTTCTTCGATGAAAACCAACAAAACATAAGAATACTTTTCATTTTCACATGAATATCTTTAAAAAAAACTTTTATGTTAGGAAAGTGCTAATGCTTACCGCTCTTTGAGCGTGGTTTTGGAATTGGAGGCGGTGCTATTCATTGGGGGGAAAGCGAAATTCATCGCTCATCCAATCAGTTTTGGTGCCCCCGCCCTTTTTCCTGACTTCCAACTGTAGTAAACAAGTGTTTGCTTGAGAGCCATACAGTCCACGACCTTCCCCTCCTTCAGAATACCACTTACTTGTCCGATGCATTGCTTAGCCAAAACGCAGACCCCGTCACTCTATTTGGCCTTCACAGCTGTTCCTATCTTTTCTCCCTCTTTTGCAAAATCAAGTATCCTTCCTTGTCAGGCGTACTGCTAATTTCTTCTGCATGCCTAAAAATTAGTTTATCCAAATTCATTAACTGCCCCAAAGAAGGATTAGAAAAAATGATTGAGCCGCACCATGAACACCAAAGGGTTTATTCTTTTAGATTATGCTATCTCACCCACATGTATAGCATGGAAATTCCTTTAATCTTCTTTTATTACCTAGCAGATGATTAATTAAACCCTAGTTTTCATTAATTGTCAGGACTAGGCTATAGATATGTAGATATCTACACGTTAGGTTTATGATTTCTACGTATAATTCCCAAGTAAGGTAAGCATAAAAGAATAACATGAGTGGATAGAATCCAGGAATGGCAAAAAAAAATTTCACATGAAAAAAACAAAAAAAATCTAAAAAAAAAAACCCTTCTTGGCTTTGAAGCTTAAATTGATCCTGTGAGAGGGATGAAAAATTATTTGTCTCACAAAATAGGGCTGCACCTGAGAACTACGTATAGCACTAGTTATTATAAAGACTCAAGCTACTAGAATTCAACCACCTTATTTCGAATCCCTTTCGTTCTTTCATTGATTAACCAGAACAAGAAAACTTAATTATGTTTTGATAATATCAACTAGCGTCCAAAAAAACCTAGAATTTGAGTACATCAACCAAATTATTAAGAACAATAACGAAAGACAATTACGGTAATTTTACAAGCGAATCAACCTGATGAGTAGTATGTCATACTTGGAAGATCCCAAGATCATATGTTGTAGACATCATCCTTGTCTGATTAGTTCGATAACGATTGTTTCTTATTCAACTGTTCTCGAAGAAAAACCCTAAAGTTCTTCATCTGTTTTGATAAACCGAAACCTGGAAGCTGCATCTCCTGATGAATCCTTAAAGGCTCGAGCTATTTTCAAGTGTTCATGGGTTCCGAACATCAATCTTCCATTCTTCAACCCTGTATTAATATTTTTCTGCAGCAAACGCAATGCCTATTGAACTGAAAGACCTTTCTATATACTGTTAAAAAAGTCTTATCAGGTTGGTTTTTTCTCAGGTCAAGTCATTCGCGTCGTTCGTCTGTGACTACCAGAGGATTACTTCCGTAGCCAAAATTGATATAGAATAATTCTAATTAACGCTCAGCATAATAAAATACTACCGTTTCATTAATTTACTTCAACAACATCCCTTTAAAACCTCTTAGTGTGGCAAATTACTTAA